TAGTATTTTTGCAGTGCATCTGCTGCCTGTAAAGACGTGGGCATGTTGGTCTCATTTCCTCAGGGCGCTCCAGAGAGCCTGTTGGAGCGCTGCAACCACGTCCGTGTCAGCGGTTCCGGTCGTGTTCCTCTGAGCCCGGCTGTTCGAGAGCAGCTCCAGTCCACCATTCGGGGCTGGGGTTCTGGACGGGACATGCTGCGCTGCCTCGCCATGGCAACCAGGGACTCACCGCCTGAAATTCGCTCCCTCAACCTGGAGAACACGGCAACCTTCACTGACTATGAGGTTCTGATGATAGACTAGACCAGAAGAGTCCAAACGTTTTGTCACGTCAGCTCAAAGCTACGATATTAACAATATAATTTTTAAAAACTAGAATCACCAAAATGTTGTTGTGATAAACTGAAGATTAACTATTTTAATTATACAAAAAATAATAAACCAATTGTTATGATCCAGTAATTATTATTATATAAATATACAATAATATATATAATTTTTTACAGTTTTTTTTTTCACTATTATATATATTTTTTGTTTATTCCTTAGCAATCAAATCAGAATCTATGTCAGTCTTTGAACACATGTTCTGTATTTAGCTAAGTTTTAATACAGCTGTTAAAAGCAAACGTATAAGTCAATGAGTAGATGTGGTCCTAGTTACCATGGCAACAGAAGAAAATCAGACGCTTAGAGTGTATGATTACTTAAAAAAATAAGTAGAATTGAATTTAAAACTTGTAGTTTTGTCCTAATTTATATAACTTATTCTTGAACTGTGGTCTGAGGGGGCCACAGAAAAATCAGTCCACGGACCACAAATGGCCCACAGACCCCACTTTGAACACCCATGGTCTTGATTGCACTCTAGGTCTATTTTTAACTTTTTTTTATAGTTGCTGTATGATTCTACATGTTATGTGAAATTAAAAAGTCCTTCTGTTTGTGACCCACCTCAGTCGGACCTGACCTTTGTGGGCTGTGTGGGGATGCTGGACCCCCCGAGGAAGGAGGTCCGCGGAGCTGTTCAGATGTGTCGACAGGCCGGCATTCGGGTCATCATGATCACAGGTTAGTGTGCAGATTTACACAGCTGCAACAAAAATATTTAGTGAAACGGCAAGAACCAGAACAGCAAAGTATAACGGTGCAAATACTAATCAGTCCGGATCTCAAAACCTTAAGCTGTCTGATACAAAGCTGTATTTTAAGGGTGCATTCACACCAGCCCTGTTTGGTCCTCTTTAATCAAACTCCAGTTCATTTGTCTAGAAAGTCCGGTTCTTTTGGGGAGGTATGAATGTTGGATCAAACTCTGATCCAGACCCAACAGACTTCGTTTGGTTTGGTTGAAGTGAACTCTGGTACGATTTGAATGGAAATGTGAACCCCAAGTGGATCGGACGCCGCTCCAAAAGCAGGAAGTGAGCTGTAATGCAAAGCATTCTGGGTAAATAAAACCAAAACAAACATCCCAGCTGGAGAAACAGCTCGTTGTCTTTTACCAAAGACAAAAGAGAAATTCTACCAACACTAAAATCTGACGCTCATCCATTTTTGTTTACATTTCGTGAAGAAGGAAGTTGTTCTGTGTCTTCTTCAGATTTTTGTGCTATTTTCTTCAGTAGTTCTTGGTACAGCGAGGACCTCCTCGCCCCACAGGCGAGGAGGTGAACAGATTTTCCAGTTAGTTTGGTTTGTTTGTGCGATGTGAAAGTGAACCACACCAACTGGAAATGTAAAAAAAAGTTGTAATTTTGGTCCCAATAAAATTAAATTCACCTGTAAATTAACATCAGAATGGTTTCACTGGGAGAATATATGAGTCCAGAACTACAAACTACAAACTCATCTCAAAAAAACCTCAGAGAAAAATTTCTTCTTACAAGTTTATAGATTTGCAGATTCAGAGAAAAGATTTGGCACAAGTGTTTTTTGGTCGACTCACCAAGAGCATCTAACTATCGTCCCTCGGTTTCTTGTCCTCTCCAGGGGACAACAAGGGGACGGCGCTGTCCATCTGCAGGAGAGTGGGCATCATCACCGAGCAGGAGGAGGAGCAGCAGGAGGGCGTGGGCGGGTTCGGCGGCCTGACGGGCCGAGAGTTCGATGAGTTGCCCCCTGACCTTCAGCGCCAGGTCTGCCGGACGGCGCGGTGCTTCGCCCGGGTGGAGCCGGCCCACAAAAGCCGCATCGTGGAATATTTGCAGAGCCTGAGCGACATCACTGCCATGGTGAGAGCAAATGTTTCCGTGTTGACAAAATGTTGGTGTTCTATCACATGAGTTCACTTTTAAGCCAGGACAGTCGAAATGAGAGACCAGAACAACCAATAAAAATGCATTTCTGTGGATTCAAACTCTGCAGCAATGTGTTTGTGAATGTTCATCAATTCTCTGTTTACTGATTAATTAGGGCGCAAATAAACAGATTGTTGCTGAAAATCTCCCTAGGCCTGTCACAATAACAGATTTTACTGGATGATAAATTATCCCAGTAATTATTCCGATAAACGATAATAACTCAAGTTAATGCGTTGATAATGGTATATTAATGCAAGTTCTCTCAAACACTGAAACTGAAAGATATCTTAAATATCCAAAATAAAACACAACCAAAACCCCATAAATAAAACTTATTATGATATCTCTCTAAACAAAACTGTCATTTAAAAAAATTCATCGTCAAACTGGAAACTATTGAGCTCATTTTAATTTATCATGTAATTAATTGATTAATTGCAACTGTCTTAGTTATTACTATTTTTGATGCCTGAACAAGTTATTTTCATTTTGGACATAAACGTTATTCAGATCTAAATTTATATGTTTGCATTACTTCAAAATGTGGTAAAAGTGGTGGTGGGACTTCATTACATTTTTTAATCGAGTTAATTGCCTGATCTGTAAATAATCAGAATATAATCACACTGTAACTGAAAACAAAAGAAGAAACATTTTCAATTCAACACTTTTTTTTTGCTGCTAATTTATTAAATAAACAACTTTATTGGAAGGAAATTTTGTTTTGATAATAATCCATTTTATTCATGGTTTAAAATTGAAGTTTATTGATCTTTGAGAGAGCAACTTGCACTAGTATGCCATAATCAACATTTTTCTTGAAAATGATCTCAAAACGACAATATTACTGTTTATCGCAATAATTTCTGAGACAATTTACCAGCAGAGCATTTTGGGATTGTCTCTCCATTTTTCCGTCCTTCCTCTCTGATTGGCTCAGACGGGGGACGGAGTCAACGACGCGCCGGCTCTGAAGAAGGCGGAGATCGGCATCGCGATGGGCAGCGGCACGGCCGTAGCCAAGTCAGCTTCGGAGATGATCCTAGCCGACGATAACTTCTCCACCATCGTGGCAGCAGTGGAGGAAGGCCGAGCCATTTACAACAACATGAAGCAGTTCATCCGATACCTCATATCGTCCAATATCGGAGAAGTGGTCTGGTTAGTGCGGTCTTTATAACACTGTGGTCTGTGGGCTCCCCCTAGTGGTCCACAAGGTACTGCAGGAAGCCGACTGTTTATTTGCTGTGACGTCGCCTCAAAGTGGACACATTCAGCTGGCTTAAAAAATAATAATGGATAAGTGGCTTAAAACTGGGCCACTCTAAACTAAATCTGAGATACAAGTGGAAAGAAAACAACACCAGGACTAATTATATGATCAGAGGAAGTCAAGTCATACCTGCTGATAGTTTTGATGTGTTGTTTGATTCTTTTGAATGGTTCTTTTAGTCTCAGTTAGTGAGAACTGTTCTTTATTTTTCACAAATGTGCTTGCTTTTCATGCTCTGCTTGCACGTCAACAGCTATTATTTTTATTTAATTAAAAATAATTTAATTGACCAATAAATACAATAGATAAATACACTTGGTAGAAATTGGAGGGTAATTTTTACATTTAATAGTGAAGAAGATTTTTGTTTCTGCCAAAGGCTATTTCTCTTTTAATGTGCTTATAAATTATAAATATCCCTAAAATGTTAATAACACACACAACACAACTTCTTTTTGATTTCCAACTGTTTGACATCATTAGAAAATCCAGAATCTGTAAAAAACTCAAAACGCCTGGAGTTGTTCATGCTTTTTGTCACATTTGCAAAACAGCGCCACCCTTCTCTTTAAGATGAATAAAGAAAACAAGTCAGTTAAGAGGCTAATATTTTCATTTCAGGTTGTTTATATAAGGCTGAGAAACATTGGGTTAGTAGACCATTTCAGTGATTAGATAATTAATTTTCTGTGTGTTTATTAAGAAAAGCTGTCTGTTTTCCTGCTCAGTATTTTCCTGGCCGCTGCACTGGGCATGCCCGAAGCGCTGATCCCGGTTCAGCTGCTCTGGGTCAACCTGGTCACCGACGGTTTCCCAGCAACAGCGCTGGGATTCAACCCGCCGGACTTGGACATCATGTCTCGTCCTCCGCGCTCTCCCAAAGAGCCGCTCATCTCCAGCTGGTTGTTCTGCCGCTACCTCATCGTCGGATGTGAGTCACGGTGACACACACAGTCTGAAATCTTACCTGGAAAGTGCTTGAAAAGTCCTTGAATGTTACTTTGGTAAAACTGTGCGAACTCTGTGTGTCATATGTAGAAGGATGATCTGATTTAAGGTTTTCATTTTTGTTTCCTGCAGGTTATGTGGGAGCCGCCACCGTCGGAGCTGCAGCCTGGTGGTTCATGGCGGCTCACGACGGCCCGAAACTTTCCTTCTACCAGCTGGTACCGCTCCAGTTTCACCCTAAAGTTCATAATTAAATGTCTCATGTAAAAACGTCAGAATAGTCACGGTTCAGGACTTTAGAAATTAATCATGAGCAACAAAATGTGACTTTTTTGACAAACAAATGTACAAACGACCCTTAAATGTCAAATTGAAAACTGATTAATGTAAATTAATAATCACTTTAATTTAAAATATGTAGCTTAAAATAAAATATTCCCCCACTTCTAGTCAGTATCTAGTAGTTAGCAGTTTTCCTTCATTCTTCCTGCTAAATTGTTTGAACTTATGGAAATAAAACATTGTTTTTTTCTGATTATTTCCACCAGAGAAATCCAATCTCCACTGACAAACGATTGTTTAACTGGTTAAAGTTTTGCAAATTAAACCTGTGATGTATTAGATTAATGTTAAATCAGAACAATCAAACCTATTTACATATTTAAAATCTAAACTTTCCCACTGTGTGTCAGTCCCATTACCTGCAGTGCAGTGAAGATCACGCCAAGTTTAGCGGTGTGCAGTGTTCGGTGTTCGAGTCGCCGTATCCCATGACGATGGCGCTGTCTGTGCTGGTTACCATAGAGATGTGCAACGCCTTGAACAGGTACCGCAGACACCTACAAAAAACGTTTAAATTTCTGAGTTTCAAACGTCAAAAATTTGCTAGGAAAAAACTGATGTTTTGAGATTAATCTAAAAATTAAAAACAAATATTGATTTTTTAAAAATTTCCAAGTCTTTCTACAAACTTTTTTAGAATAATCTGAATTTTATTGGCAGAAATTTACTCATCTTTTTTTGTTTTCTATCTACAATTGTCCAAACACCCTGTTGTATCTGGAAGAGCTGCAAAAAAGGACAAAAACAAACCGAAAACTGGATGACAAAAGTCTTCAGTCTGGTGCTTTTGTCTCAATTATCCCCTTTTTTTGAAGGACAGTTTTGTTTACAGAGACTTCATTATTCATTTTATTTGTTGTTTCTGTAGTTTTGTTCATTTATTTTGGGTATTTAAAATATCTTACAGTTCCAGCGTTATTTATTAGAATTTAAAGTTTGAAATTGTTTCCTTTACCGTTATATGACTTTAAAGTGGCCTCAAAACAATGATATTATCGTTTATCACAATAACCTCTGGGACGATGAATCACCAGGCTTCTTCAACCTCTTTTTCCTCCAGCCTGTCAGAGAACCAGTCTCTGCTGAAAATGCCTCCGTGGTCCAACCCGTGGTTGGTGGGCGCCATCTGCCTCTCCATGGCGCTTCACTTCCTCATCCTCTATGTCGACCCGCTGCCGGTAAGAAAACCTGCATCAGAATCGTTTGGTTCTGTTACTGCAGGTGTTTGGAGAACCTTCACGTTCTTCCATCCACAGGTGATTTTCCAGATCCGGCCGCTGTCTTGGACCCAGTGGGTCGTGGTTCTGAAGCTGTCGCTGCCCGTCATCCTGATGGACGAGGCGCTCAAGTTCTTGGCCAGAAACTACATCGAGCCGGGAAACCAGGTCCAGATATAACGAATCTAATTTAATATGATTTTCACTCTTTTTGTTTTTCTCAGAGTTAGAAAGTAACTAGTTACATTTACCTGAGTAACATTTTTGAAAAGATGTTCTCCTGGGAGTATTTTTTTTCTATGCTGTACTTTTTGCTTATACTTGAGTAATTTTATTATGAAGTATCTCTACTCTTACTGGAGTAAAATTTCTGGATTTTCTGTTCTGTTATTTTATATTTTTATAAATGATTGTCATTTTTGTCCTTAACATACCAGCATTTCCACTTTACTTTATATTTTGGTCCACTGAGGATGTAATTTTTAAACATTAAACAATAATTTAGCTTTTGATTTGATTAGTTACTCAGTACTTGAGTACGATTTTTACCAAATACTTTCTTACTCCTACTTGCATAATTTCTTGTTCGGCTACTTTTTACTTTTAATTGAATAAAAATGTGTTGTATTCTAACTTGAGTCTAATTCCTGGGTGCTCTACCCGGCTCTGGTTTTTATTGTCTCCTGAAGTCAGTGGAGGAGGAGGAGCTGCAGAGGTCATGGGTCGGCATGGGGCTGGTCGCTTCGATCCCGTCGAGGCTTCGCCACGCGCTGAAGGACGTCTCCTGGTTGTTCGTTCTGATTTCGGCTCCGCTGGTGATCTGGATCTTCAGCCTGGACTCCGACATCAACAATATCTTCTGGGAGTGAAGCCCGAACGGAAACACTGAAGAGGACAAAAAAAGAAGATGGACTTCTGGGAAAATGACTTTGAAACGTCAGGAAAAGATGGCGGAGACTCGAAGAAAATGTTTTATAATGATTTCCTTCGTCATAAAGGTGCTTTGTGGAGATTTAAAACATTTTCTTTGATTGATCAAACATCCATTTCTTGAATTCTTGATCATTTGGATTTTTTTAAACAAAAACAGTGAGTTTCACATGAAATCTCTCTGGTTGAGCTAAGCTAAGCTAAGCTGCTTTATGTGTTTTATGATTCAATTCAATATTAAACCTGATGTAGAAAGAACTGCACTGCAAAAACACAAAATCTTACCAAATATTCTTGGTTTAGTTTCCACCACAAATATTTTAGTACATTTGAAATTCCTAAAATGCTACACAGAGCACCTTTTAGAAACTGTTAAGTTTACCAATCTATCCGCTGATCGTTCCTAATGTTCACATGTAACATCCGGACATTTTCTGAAGCAGCTGACCTGAGACCGGTCCAGGAGGCGAAGCCCGGCCGGATTGTGCTGGATAATGTAATAAAACTCTGTGTTTAAGGCTTCTAACATAAATTTTCTGTCTTGAGTTGCACTTTTGTTCCTGTTTTGAATATTTCGATGCGTTTGAGGCGATGCATGGAGCAGAAGCTGTCGATGTTTTCAGTTGTCATGTTTTTGTCAGGATCTTCAGATTCTGACAAAACCCCAAAGAGAAATTAAATGTAGCTCATTTTATTCAATATTCTCTAAAGAGTTGCTGTAGAAGCTGGGAGAGCCTCCTGTAGCAGTCTGTACTACAGCGGTTCTGAAGAAGCCTCTGACTGAAGACTGAAGAGAAAGCTCTCAATTGTTCATAATTTTCTTGATTTTATGAATAATCTTTCAAGAATCAGCTTTCTTTCTCACGTTGTTTAGCCGTTTTAAGTCCCAGCAGATGACGGCAGACAAACCGATTCTCTCAAAAACTGACTTGTAGAAGATCTACATGGTCCACCTGACAACTGCAGAGTCATCCGAGTGTTTCTGCAGATGACAACAGTGTTGAAAGTCTGATGTTTACAGAGTGAAAATGAAAGATAAGAGGACAGCACCCTGTGGTACTCCTGATCTAATGACCAGCTGGTTAAACACAGAATCCTTCAGTCATTGATCCAGGTGATTTTTGTATTTTCCGGAGTTTCAGATAAAGCAAATCAGGTTGAGTTTTGGTTTAAAGAAGAAATTAAAATATCTCTGTAATAAACTCCAGAATGTCAAATGAAAACGCTTCAACCAATCTCAAATTTAATGTTTAAATTTGTTTTTTTCAGGCTCGTTTCTAAATGTTTGATGTTTTCATAAGGTTTTGTTTTTATTTCTGTGTTTATCACATCTTGCACACTGAGATGAGCTTAACTGTTGTTTATGATCCGTATGTGTGTGTGACAACGGCTCACCAAATTTTTTTTAAATTTTGCAAATTTTTCAAGGTTTATGTTACATAAACATTAATAATAAAAATAACCCATGTTATTCTTTTTAAGTAGTTTCATTTTAATTTAACACTTTAGGTTGTATTTGAAGCAAAACAGAAATAACGTTTAATTGTTTTAAGCAGGAATGTAATATTTTTCAGCATTTACTTTTATTTATTTTTGAACTGTATGATAACAAAATCTTGTTCTATTGTTTTTGAGTTGGGTTTTTTTGGCTGGAAAGAGGGAAATTTAAATGTTGCAGATCATTCTTTGCTGACTTGTTTGTTTTGAATAAAGATGAAACTGAAGAACTGAAAACTTTTTCTTATTTAGATCTTCCACCAACATCTATAGAAAAACATTTTGTTGTCAATAAAGTGTTGAATGACAACATCGTCGTTGTTTTAGATTATTTTACATTAAACTTACAGTTCAAATCCAAATATGTTAAGCTGTATTTCACTGCAGCCGTAACTCTAGTTCACTTTGATCAATAATCAGGGTGAATTATTTTAAAATGTTATTCCAAACACTCAAATTGAGGCCAGTTACTGAAATATCAGGGGGGTTTTGGCTTTTTTTGACTTTTTCTGGACAATTATTCCATCTGGTTTTGGATTTTTTGCAGCTGGAAAGGTTTTTCCTCTTATTTTGTTGCTTTCAGACAGTTATGATGCGTAGCAACAACATTATTAGTTTCTTTTATCAGTCATTATGGGCAAAGATCATATCCCCTACTCGAACCTCTCTTACCGGTTTTCTCACCATATGGACAAAAGCAACGGAGGTGGCTCAGCACTGGTGTCATCCAGTTCATGTTTCTCTAAAATAGCATCTCTAATACCTCAATATGTAACTATTAGCATCTCTTCAGTCAGAGGCCTCTTCTCATTCATTGCAAGACAGACTGCTACAGCAGACCCTTCCTCTCCAACACACCTGAATGACATAAATAGTGACAACATTTAAAATTCCCTTTGGAATAAACTAAATATTTTCTAATTAAATTACGTCTTCCCAACTCTCCTCAAGCTAAACATAACTGGTGACTTTACACTGCAAAAACACAAAATCCTACCAAATATTTTTAGTCTATTTTCTAGTGCAAACATCTTATCACACTGGAAACAAGAAAAAAAACTTACAAGTAACTTTACAGGAAGAAATATTTGCTTGTTTTAAGTAAATAATTTCTTAATATTGATGATAAGGTACAAGTTCAAAATGTTTTGTTTTAAGTTAAATAATCTGCTATTGGAATCAGTACTTTTTAAAAATAAAAATTAACTATTTGGTAGGATTTTGTGTTTTTGCAGTGAATTCATATATGAAACCCTTCAAGCTGTTTTTTTATCATTATTATTATTATTATTATTATTATTATTATTATTATTATTATTATTATTAAGTGACCTAAATCTGTGGAAATTGTCCCAGTTTTTTTTATAAAAAGGCACTGAGTTTGTGTGCATAAGCGCTGCCGTGCGTTTCTCAATAAGTGTTTGTTTATGTGATAAGGGGGTGGGCAGGTTGGTGTTCGCTCCATTTTTAGACCTGCCAGGGGTCAATGTGAGTGTTAATGTGCATATGGAGCGGCCGCTCGCAGCCAACGATATCTGAACCTCAACGCCGCAAAGCAGAAACTTCCAAGATCATTTCAGGATATTTGTTTTTCCAATTTGGGAGCAAAACCTCCAGGGGAAGTAAGTAGTTTTAAGGTTGATGCTTTTCATGCTGTCAAAGCTCTAAAGGTGGGTGAGGTAATGGTCAGTAAATGACAGCATGATGCATTTGCTTGCTCTGCTCACTGGGTTAATCTGAGGTAGAGGTAAGCAACCTTCACCATGCAAAGAGTCATTTCTGCAAAATTAAGTTTGTCCAGTTTGTCCAAAGTTACATCGTCGCTTTAAAAAAAAAAAAAATCACAATTTGCTCTAAATACTTACTTGTTATAGACTAAAATAAATATATATAAATATTGTTACATTTTAGAATGAATGAGTGAAACATTTTGCAGAGACAAAGTGCATTTTCTTGAATTTTATACTTAGGTCAAAAATACTTGGTAAAATTTTTTGTTTTAAATCTCAAATGGTTCCTTTTGTATTTTTACATATAGTTCAAATATCTTATTAGACTTGAAATATGACAAAACTAACTTACATGCAACTTTTCAGTAAAATATATGAGTTTGCTTTCAGTGAATAGTTCCTAAATATTAATTTAAAAGTTTGTTATTGTTTTGGACAAAGTTGTTGCAATGGTTGCAGACCACTGATTTTCCTGACACATACAACGTTGTGGGGACCATTTGCACCTTGTGGGGACCGGAGCCTGGTCCCCACAAGGGGAAACCCTGTTTTTGGGTCAGGAGTTAGATTTAGGGCTAAGGTATGAATTGAGTTTTGGTTAGAGTTAAGGTTAGTTATGTGATGGGCAGGGTTAGGAAAAGGGTAAAGGTTAGGTTTAGGCTGTAGAAATGAATGGAAGTCAATGGAAAGTTCCCACAAAGATAGCAACACAAACGTGTGTGTGTCTGTGTGTGTGTGTGTGTGTGGGTGTGTGTGTGTGTGTGTGTGTGTGTGTGTGTGTGTGTGTGTGTGTGTGTGTGTGATCTTGACACCTGATAGTCGCTCTACTGGATGTCTCTCTGGCTCTGCACATGTTTGGAGTCGTCTTTCTTCCTCTTGGCTTCGCAAAGTGCTGCCTTACTGTACATATCAATAAATGTCACTGCAGGATAAATAAAGAAAGTGAACACACTTTTCTTGCATATGGTCTGCTTTCACATATGTGGATCTAAATGAACCACAGCTAGTTCATCCTGATGGAGCACTAAACTTGGTTTATGTTTTATTCTTTGAACTGCAAAAACAGAAAGTATCTTCTGTCTAGTTTCCAGTGGTACTTAGTTCACTTGAAATAAGACAAAACTAACTCACAACTGTTCAGCAAGAAATAGTTTTGTTGAAGTCAATAATTCCTTAATATTGATTTTAAAAAGTATTACTTCCATTGGCAAAAATGAGAAAAATGTCTTGTGAGATTTTCTGCAACTGGACCTAGTACTTTTAAAAAATACTAGTAAGGAATTATTTATTTTACTTTTACTGGTGTTTTTGTGAATGAGTGGTGTACAAACTTTTTCCCATGAGGGCCAAAGTCGTTAAGGATATGTTATTTGTAAAAAAAAAAAAAAAAAAAAGTTGAGAAAGTGTCCATCTGCATCAAATTTGCTCCATTTGGACCGCCATAATCATTCAGAGAGCCTCAAATGGCCCCCGGGCCGCAGTTTGAACACCACTTCTGTAACAGAACAGAGCTGTAATTTAGTTTGTCGGTTTCTGCTGCCGTCCTGTTTGGTGTTTTGATGCGCTTCTCGTCGTCTGCAGCTGTCATGGCTCCCAGTTTGGCTCAGGCCTACCGAAGAAGATGGTGGATGGCAGTCACGTCCATCATAGAGAACCTCTTCTTCTCTGCCGTCCTGCTGGGTTGGGCCTCGCTCCTCATCATGCTGAAGAACGAGGGCTTCTATTCCCACCTCTGCATAGGTAAATGCTCTGACATCTGCAACACCATGCAGGAACTAATCGCCATGTATGTTAGCTTTTGAACTTAAAGAGATTAACAAAAACGTCCCTGCTCATTAGCATTTTGAAAATTTTGGTAATCCTGACATCCGAGATTAGCAAATATTAACAACTTGTCTAAGAACAGTAAAATTTATAATTAATCAAGAACAAAATTATTATTCACAACCAATCAGAGCATTCCATGGACAGAAAAGAACCAATCACAATCAGTAAATCAAAACAGTGCAGGATGTGGAAGAAAACACCAAGCAAAACAGGAAAACAAACACTTCAAAAACACCAAATCTTACAAACTACTTTTAGTTTCTAGTACAAATATCTTAATAGATTTTAAATAAATATGGGTTTTGTTTGTAATCAGCCTAAATTTAAAGCTTTCTTAACAGGTTGAGGTGCTTCTGTTCTTATTTCTAGAGTCATAATTGTTAATTGTTTTTGGTGTTTTTGTCTTTCCATCCAGAAAATGAGACTTTTGCCACAAACAGGAGTTTGGTGGAGGGCGGCAGATGGCCCAGCTGTGTGGAGCAGGAGGAGATGCTGAATCTCGGCTTCACCATCGGCTCGTTCTTCCTGAGCGCCGCCACGCTGCCTCTGGGAATCCTAATGGATAAATTTGGACCCCGACCGATCAGACTCATTGGCAGGTCTGACACTGCACTCGTTTCTGATCAAAATGTTTCTGATTGTGATTACGATCGCTTTTTCAAATGAAAGAGCTATAATAGAGTAAAACCTTATAAAAATTATTCTTTAATGAGACAGGAATTTGGACAAAGTACTGTTTCAATAAGCTGGTTTGTTTACGCAATAAAACCTGATAGCAGGGCCGGCCGAAGCCTATTTGGGGCCCTGAGCAGATTTTCATTCAGGGTCCCCCATGAGTGATGTTCATCAGTTGGCTATGCTAGAAATACCTGTGTTTCCATTGCAAATGTGCATAAAAATTTATTTGATATTGTACTAAAGTAAAACAAACAAAAAAAACTACTTGCAAAATATCACCAAATGACATTCAGATTACATCAAAGTAAACATCTGTTAAAAAAATAAACGTCTAAATAATTGCAAAATATTAACAGAGAAATCAACATGGTAACATGAACACACAGAATAAAATACAATGTTGTGTACTAATAGGTGTAAAAATATTCTTGTTTATTTAGTGTGTGAGCTCCATTCATTAAATATCAATGAAAAGGAAAATGGAAGGAAAAAACATAAATAAAAACTGACTTTTTTAAACTCCACAATCATCTACAAAAAACAGAAAAAGCAAGAACTAATGAAATAAATTATTTATCTTCTGATACATTAATCTGAGAAACATTCCTTAAATATTAATAACATATTTTCCACTTAAATATTCCCCAAATAATGTTTGACATTTCCTCTTCTATGATATGCTGATGATGATCTAATCATTTTACTTTGACTAGGCTGTTCTTTTTTCACAGTATTTAGAGGAATACTTCCAACCAGATACTACAGGAACATTTAGAATAAAAGCAAATAGGTGTTTTTCTAATAATTCAAAGGGATTTTTGCTTGTTTAGTGTCATATTCAATGTTTTGTCTTTCAGTTCCTGTTTCGCAGCGTCTTGTGCAATGATGGCTGCCGCTGCATACGACCCTGAAGGTGAGGCGACAAACCTACATTTAAAAATTAATCTTTAGCTGCTAGCTTGACTTATTCCACGTTTTTTTTTTTTTACATAACTAGTTGTTGTTGGTATGTGGTTATGTTATATTTGGTTGAAAAAAAGTCCAAAACAAAAACAAATTATGGCTGCACTGTGTTTGAATTTTTTTTATATTTTTTATCAGTGCTGTCAGTCCTCATTTTCTTCGCTGTTTCCTTCAATGGTTTTGGAGGAATCTGCTTGACCTTCACATCACTCATAGTGAGATTCACACACACCCACACCCACACACACACACACACATAAACACACACACCATGCTGCAGTTAGATATATGGGACAATAAGACAAAATTTTCTTACAAATGACTTTTCAGGCAGATATAGGAGCTTGTTTTAAGTCAATAATTCCATAATATTGATTTTAATTAAGTTCTACTTCCACTGGCAGGTTATTTCACTTAATACAAAACATTTTCCCATGTTGTATGTGAAATAACAAGACATGTAACGTAAAAAATGGGAACATTGTCTTGTTCCACTGACAGATTATTTGCAACTGGAACTTTTTCATCAATATTAAGGATTTATTGACCTAAACTAAGTTCCTATATCTTACTGTAAAGTTGCTTGACAGTTAGTTTTGTCTTATTTCAAATGTACTAAAATATCTGCACTAGAAAATAGACAAAAAATATTTGGTAAGATTTTATGTTTTTTGCAGTGCATAACATCTTAATCTGTCACAGATCTGAATAATTTTGGGTATTTATACCTTTGCTAAATAGTAAGATTTAATTAAGAATAGTGTTGTTATCAGTCCTTAGCTTGTAGGAAAAGCATACAAAATAAGCTGTGTGTCCGTGTGTGTGTGTGTGTGTGTGTGCATGTGTGTGCGCGCGTGTGTAGGTGTGTGTGTGTGCGTGCGTGTGTGTGTGTGTGTGCGTTTGTTTCACCTCAGTAAACTTTTATTCCAACTATAGCTGTAATCTTGCCAGTACCACAAGACACTGCATGCGGTTCCTGTCATGATCAGTCATCCGTTTTGGACATGAATATTAAAGGAATTGCAGCAACAGGTGTATGGAACTAAATTAGGGTCATAAAGTTTGTTGAAAAGAAAAAAAAGTCTGAAAGTGGAAAAAAAGTTGTTGAATCTGAAAAGCAGTTTTATCAGTTTCAAATCCTTATTATTATTATTGCAATTTTTTTTTTTCAATTTGAAACTTTTTTATAATTCCAAATCTTTTTTTTTTTTTCTGTTTAATTTTTTTTTTCAGTTTAATTTTTTTTTTCTTTTGTACAAATTTCATGACCCAATTTAGCTCCATGCAAGTGGTGCGAACCGAAATATCTCGACACCCAACATTACAGTTAATATAGTAGCAGGTTTTTACAGTGATTTCTTTTTTTGCTTCTTCTAAATTCTCACTCACTGAACTGGTTTGATAATCTATAAATACAGAAATGGCCGCAAACATTACAAGTATGTCCGAAAGAATACTTTATAAAAAATAAAATGGTAAAGTGGAAAAGTAAAATAGTGAAGTGGAAATGGGCCATGAGCTGCTCACACACACCCAGAAAGTCCACAGATTCTCACACACAGCAGGACAGAAAGGACAGGCCATGTTTTGGGACTTCGCCAGGTCAGATGATGACAGGCAAAAGGAGCAGGGTGGGTCAACTAGGCAGGTTTCTGATTGGCTGAGAGGCTGCATGGGAATTTAAACTAAGTGGAACTGGATCTGGTGGTTCCAAAACTAGCACCGACGCACACACCCCCACACACCCACTCACACACCACAAACGATGCGCTACATAGTCAGAAAACGCTCACATGGACCGCCACACATTTAATTCAAAGGTTGACTGAAGTAGATTGTGATCGAGTTAAAAACAGTACCGCCTCCTGCTGACGGCACCCCTACATTACAGCCCAGAAATGGAAAGAAGAAATTCACATTTGTATGCTTCTATTTGCCCAAGGGCTTAAACAAAAACCTCCTGACGTTTTTTGGTGTCTGGGAAATTAGCCGTTTCAAAAACATCCCGACAGTTAAGTCACATTCCATGGGCACTGCGCCGTTACCTAACAACCCAGACCAGTTACCTAGCAACGCAAGCCTACCTCTGTAACTGGTTTACTGCTGTAAAGTGACTGGTGGGGAAAAAAAGAGTTTTCTCTGCAAAAATATAAAATCTTAGAAAGTATTTTTGGTCCACTGTCCGGAAATATCTCAGTACTAGAAATAAGACAAAACTAATAAGAATTTTTTCTGAAATATATGGAAGCTTAATTTAAGTAAACAATTCCTTAGTATTGATTAAAAAACGGATTATTTAACTATAACAAGACATTTTTACCATGTTGTGAGTGACATAATCTGCCGGTGGAACTAGTACTTTTACATCATTATTTAAGAAATTATTGACTTTAAACTGTGTATTTTTGTGCTGTATTTGTCACTGCTTCTTGGCCAGGACTCCCTTGAAAAAGATGTTTTAAATATTAATGTGTTTTTATATCCTGATAAAATAAAGGTTAAATAAACAAATAAAAAACAAGTTCCTATATTTTGCTGAAAAAATACTTGTTAGTTGTTCTTATGTCAAGTGTACTGAGGTATTTGCGCTAGAAACTAGACCAGAAATATTTGGTAAAATTTTGTGTTGTTGTTTACTTACTTTTCAGAAACCAATTGCTGCATTCTTATCGGTTGTGCAGGAGGTGCTACTTCTGCTTTTCAATACAGTTGTATAATTGCACATTTGTTTGCAGCCATTTTCACATGCTAGTGTAAACATTGAGTTGGGCAGTGTGGCCAGCAGCACCATAATTAAATTTAAAGTGACAGAAGCCTTAAAACAATTCTTTCTTGAATGCAGAACTGATTAAAATCTGATTATCTAAACATGATCCTGTGCAAAACATGTAATTAACATATTTGTTCAGATTATTGACTTATCCTAACCTGTTCAAGAAATTATAATAGGTCACTTTTTACCATAAATTATATTTATTAAGAAATTTCAGTTTGTCAAATGTTAACTGACTAAAGTGTCACAAAAACTGCTGGTATTATATGAATACCAGCAGATTTTTTTTCTTTTTTTTTCTCTACTTTAATTAATCATTTCCTTACAGCTGCCTAACATGTTTGGAAACATCCGATCGACCATCCTTTCCCTCATGATTGGCTCCTACGCTTCTTCAGCAGTCACCTTCCTGGGAATCAAGGTGTGCACTCACACACAAGTGAAAAAGATTAGATGTTTGGGATTGTGAATGCATCAAAAGAAGAAAATGAAAATGTATCAAGTGTTTGAAAAAAAATTACACTTAAAGGACAGGTAATTAATGTCAAGAATGACAATAGAGGTCGGAGGGCAACCTCAAATATATCAGGTGTCATCTTAGCTTTACTGTTTGGTGAATTTTTTTAATCCATTTCTACATCTCTTTATATTTTTCCTTAACTTTCCTCCTAATCCCAATCAGTTGATTTATGACCTTGGTGTGTCGTTCCGACTCATTATGTGGGTGTGGACGGGTTTGGCCTGCTTTGTCATCCTCAACTGCTTCCTGAACTGGCCGGGTGAATCCTTCCCAGCTCCAGAAGACAGCAGATACACGTCAGTAACAACAACAACAACAACAACAACAACAATAATAATAATAATAATAATAATAATAATAATAATAATAATAATAATAATAATAATTCTGTACTCTGTCTACCTCTTTTTGATCTTCTCTTGAAAGTAAAAAGATGAGAATGAATGGGATTGTGACAGAGGACAGGGTGACCGGGGACAGGTACATCACCAATGTGATGATCATGGAGGACACAGTGAGCCCCAAACCACAAGAATCTGAAAAGACACACTCCGAAAACGCCTCTACGGGTAAATACAGCCTTGTTATGAGCAATTTAATGCAGATCTGATCATTCATAAGGATCTGTTGGCATTGTGATTGGTAAAAATATAATTCAAAGGTCTTTGTAAGGTTCAAACTCCACACAAACCTGCATTAACTCCATTTACATTCACCATGAAAATGCGCACATTGAAATTACAAAAATTAATCTGCTGTAATTTCTTCCATCTGCAGTCCCAATCTGTCGGTCTGTGTGCTCTCCCATCTTCCTGTGGAGCGTCGTGGTCATGGCAATCACTCAGCTCAGGCTGATCTTCTTCATGGGAGCCATGAATAAGATGATCGAGTTCCTGGTCACTCATGGCGACCCCAACCGTAAGCGTAAAATATAGGCCTACACAAAACCATTTATCAGAGATGTTGAGTTTAACTTTTACAGCTGCTGTTCTGTCTTTCAGCCTCAGTGGAGCTACGGAAGGAGACGGAGGACCAAGGTACCTATCAGGAACATCCTCCTCCAGTCAACATTGTATTTTTACCTGATTTCACTCTGGCTGTCTTCTCCAGTGGCTTTCTACTCGTCCATCTTTGGTACGATGCAGCTTCTGTGTCTGGTGACATGTCCGCTGATCGGCTACATCATGGACTGGAGGTTGAAGGAGTGTGAAGAGGAACATGTAGACATATCAACAAGCAAAAGGTAGGGAAACATTTGGACTTTATTGAGGCTGATGAGTTTCAACAACAAGTGGGTGAATAGTCTGAACCAGGGGAACTCCATGAGAACCACGTTACATCGGCACAAACTTGTTATACTTGTTTCCTCAGCAACTCGGCGCCCCCAAAGAGAGACAGAAAGATCCAGAAACTGAGCAATGCCATCAGAGCCTTCATCTTCACCAACTTCCTGCTGGTCATGTTTGGAGTTATTTCCTTGATTGACAACTTGCCCATACAGGTTAGGAAAAGTGTTGCACTAGAATATGAACTGAAAGCTCCTTCAGTCGTTTTTCAGTTCAATTTGACATTTTAAGACAGAATGTTGTGTTGTGTCCATCCCATTTCAAAGCTGCAGGACACTGAGTCTTGACAATTGGAATTTGAGAGCTCTGGTGTCACATGTTAGGTTTTCATTTGCTTTCGTTGTTACAACAAAAAATAAAATCTTGACATTTTTAATGCAGATAAAAAGCAAATACTGAACGTCCTGTAACATGTGTCCTGCTCTCTGTTTTGTTCTTTACCAGGTGTTGTCCTTTGCTCTTCACACCGTTGTCAGAGGATTTATCCACTCCTGCTGCGGAGGCCTCTATGCAGCAGTGTGAGTGACACAATGAGATGAGATTTTAAAATCCTCTAGACTTGTCACTAATTCAATCAAAGATGGTGAAATGATGAGGGAAAGATGCAACTTTCCGTCTCTGAAGGTTCAGGTCAGAGTCTGGGTGTGATCTGTGTTGCCTTTGTAATCCCAAAGGCAGCACAGATCAGTTTAGCGTGTTGTAGCTCTATAAAGGTTTTCTTTCCTCACTCACCACAGTCATCACAGTCATCACAGTCATCACCATCTACAATAACACCTTAATTATTGGAGTTACAACAACATTTAGTCTCCCTTTGTGCTTAATAAAGTATTTTTGAATTGAATCAACGGCAGGGGTGAACCTGTTTTACAGTATTTTTGTTTTTACAATTCCCTTTCCCAGATCTTGAATTGTTTGCTTAAATCTTCATTCTTCTTCACCACCACCAAGGAACCAACATCGGATTATTATCCAGTTTTTCTTTTTTTTTCATTTATTTTGTCATAATTGTAGTCAAATATCTGAAAGGATGCCACATTTGCCTCATTTCCACTCTCCTCTCATCCAGGTATCCAGCAAACCACTTTGGGACTCTGACGGGTTTCCAGTCAACAATCAGTGCAGCGTTCGCCTTGCTCCAGCAGCCACTCTTCATACTGATGGTGGGGTACCTCGGCGGAAACCCTTACTGGGTAAGGAGCAATCATATATCATGGTCGACATTCTCAAACCTTCCCGGGCTTTTAGAGAAAACTCACCTTTACTTTCTTCCTGCAGATCAACGTTGGCCTTCTCATCTTCTCCCTGGTTGGCTTCCTGTTGCCATGTTATCTCTTCTACCACCAAAGAGGCCTAATCAGAAAGAAGGTGCAGCTAGATGTGATTGCTGCCTGCCAGTCTGAGAAGGAGAATGAAGATCTTATCCAGTCAAACTGTGAAGACGAGGGGTCTTCAAAATATGGAAACATACCCAATGGGCATACTGGTTAACTGGTTACAATGACATGGTCACTTATTGTCAGCAATGTTATTATTTTTACTATGACTTATCTGTATCTACAAAAAAATAAAACATTAGTCCTAAAGATAAATGCCGAACATAATAAGCAAAACTAAGATTCCAGATTGAAAATGTGCTCTTCATTAGGGCTGGACGATATGGTTGAAAAAAAAAGCAAAACATACCACGCAATAATCATTTCATATCAGTTGAAATCATTAATTGTTGATTAGTTTTTTTGTTTTAAATATCTGAAATACTACCAAACCGGTGATGTGACCTTTCTTGTTTTATCCACAGTTTTCACTCCATGCCGAACATTTATGCTGCTACTCAACAGGTTGTTGCTAGGTAACTGCAAGTTACCCAGCAGACTGTTGCTAGGAAACCAGAGAGTGAGTGAGTTAGTTGATTCCACTAACTTTGCTTAGCTAGCAGTGAGAGGTTGAGTAGCCAAAGCTCTGCCTACATCTCCCAGAATGCCGTGTGGTTCTGGACCAGAGTTCCGTGAATATTTTATTGAACAATTATCTATTGTTTATTGCAAAATTTATTGTCACTGATTTATTGTCTCTTAATAGAACTACAATAATTCTGAAAGCTAAAATTGTTTGCATTTTGGATTTTAATTCACGTCAAAACTAGGGAGATAAATTGATTTTTATAGATTAATCTAATTTTCTGGTTTTGGAGAATTAATTTTTGGACAATCTGGATTTTTCTTTTTCACCAATGCATTCATAAACCAGATGGATGTTAACTCACCCCAGAACTGCAAAGCACGTTTTACTGTTTCTATTTATTTCGACTTTGAATTCGGGTTAACAAAAAAAAAAAAAAAGATTAAAATAAAAGCCGGTTTTTAAGATATTTTCTGCCATTTCGATTTTTTTATTTTGTTAAGGTAGAAAGTGACTTAAATAAAATCAATTATTTGATTTTATTAAGAAATAAAATCAATTATTTGATTTTATTAAGAAATAAAATAAAATCTGGTTATTTTTTAGCCATATCACCCATTCCCAGTCAAAACCAACAGTCAGATGAATAATCACCTTGTATTTGTTCTTCATTACAAATTTAGAAAAAAAAGATAAAGCTGAGGGACCATTATGGCAGAACTTCATTCTTTTTTGTTGTTGTTTTGTTGTTGTTGACTGCATCCATTGTTGTCACTCATCATGTTATATTAACTAGACTTTTAAGGTTTTTGTGTGTAAAGTAGTACAGCTGTGTATTTTGTATTATTGAGGCCAAATGTATAAATATTGATGTGCAAATGCTACAACATCACTGACTGGGACAATTTAAAAAAATATTATCTCAATGTCCTCAGGACTTTTAATTAACCCAAGAAAATGAAAAGTCATCACAACACTTTGCTAAAGATAATAAAGCATTTATTACACTGAACAGAGTCTGTGCAACGTCTGACTCAGGTTTTATTATTAAGGTTTAAGATTTATTTAAAATTTTGAAAGATTAACACACCACATCTCACAGCCTGAGGCACTTGTGGATTTTAATATATAATTGCCTCTATAATCTTCAGACTTAGATCCAAGATGAAGGGTTTGAACCTTGATATTTTCAAAACAAAAACCACAAACATAATTTTATAAATGCGGGAGGGACTGGTGACCTTCTATGATCTCTGGAAACTCTACTTTTATTAATATCTTAAAAATGATAGCATCACCAACGAAAGTGTTTGCTGCACAAATGTAGCACAAATGTTCAACACTAATTATGTTTGATTTGGGTGATATGGATTTGCTGGTTGAACTTTTGACTGTTGCTTTTATTAATATATTCAAAACAAGAGGAGCACAAACAAAAATATTAGCAGTACAAATGTAGACTTCATAAATGGGGGAGAGACTGATTGATCTTCTATGATCTCCATAAACTTTACTTTTATTAATATCTTTAAAAAAATTGCAGCACAAATGTATAACAAACACCAATTTGATTTGAAGAACATGATGGGAGTAAATTCACTGAAGTCTGAAGCTCCTTCTGCTCACTAAAGAGGTAGAAGACGAAAATGCTCGAAAAGAACCACATTTGCAAGTTTATGCAACATTAACCAAGTAGTTAATCAAAAATAAGAACCGTTCTTTCTGATTTACTGATGTGTCTTATGGAAGTTCAGATAAGGAAACACGGTTTTCTTTGTGCAACAGCTCATGAGAAACGGGTCACCACATAAACATCCATTGTTTTTAATGCCTAGATTGCCTCTTTAGTTTAGGGATTTATGGAATCACATGGCGACTGCCCAGAAGCTGCAACACACAAACACACAATGCATGTTTGTTTTTGTGGTGGCAGGATTTAAGGTTTGTTTTCACTCCCCAGCTTGTGTCTGTGTCAGAGGTGGATGTGTGTCTGTGTGTGTGATGAGCTTGGCTGTGTGGGTTTATCCTCACAGCCCCTGCTGTCATTTTAATCTGTCCATTGAGTGGTCTGTGTGTTTTGTTTTTTCATGCTTGGGGCAGTATGCATTCAGGGAGATAGTGTATACTTTTTGGATTCATTAATTCCACTGAAACAATTTTCTGAAACCCACCAGCTTAGATTAATGTTTGTGAGTTGTAACTGTTGTTTGAAATTGAGTAAGTTTGGGATTTAATCTGTTATTCTCATGGTTTAGGGATGGAACATGCCAATAATTAGTCCTTTCATAAATCAGTATTTATAAGAGGTGAGTAGTAACTAACATTTACTCAACTATTTTTTGAGGGGAAGAAATTACACCATACTTTTCTGTAATAGTTATTACAATTATTTATTTATTAAGACATTGTGCATTAATAAACAATTTAGATTTAAATACATCCAATTACACCAAAGGGTGATTTCCACTGTTTGTCCCCCTGCCAGATGGTACAGACTGAATGGTTAATACAAAACACACATACACACACACACACGTAGACACACAACAACAACAACAGCAACAGCAATTTTTTGTCAAAAGTCATTTTGATGAAAAAAAAGAGAGAAGGTGACAATATTTTTAAAAACAACTTTTTAACTTTACATACACAATATCACAATTTTATATATCAACCAAATCTTCCACAGAAACATATTGACCCACCCATACATATTACCTTTACTTCAGTTATATGGTAATATTGCTACTATTACCTCAGTAACATTTCTGGACATTCTACCTACTGCGAGTAACTTCACTAAATGAAGTGGACATATAAAAAATATTCAAAAATATTGTATTGGTGCCAAAGTGAAATATATACATAAGAATATAGTGAAGAAGTGCTACTCCTATTTTAGTACAATTATTTAGTAGGCAAAATGATACATCTGTATAATAGAGCTTAAATATCTGCATAATAGGAATAAATCTGCAGATTTCTGCACGTTAGTGTGTCAGTGTTTCATAAAAGTAGGAGGAAGTCTTGTCAGATTGAGTTTATGTGTCAGTCACGTGTAAAAAAATATTTTAAAAATTAAAGGTCTTTGAAAGGAGCGTCGGACTGTGCCGCACTGTTTTCTATCAATTTAATCACGATTTGGAACGATCGTGACGTTACCTGTTCTGATGGGCGGGGCTTGGCCTCAGAGCCAATAGTATAAGCCGTTAACTTGATTGACAGTCGTGATACCCAATCAGTGTTATTTCTATTACGACAACTCCGCTCTTGGACCCTGGCGCTGGAGTTTTTGTGGCTGTGAGAAATCTGTCGGCCTCTGGGAGTCTGTTGGCCACCAACATCCTGGAGACGTGAGAGGAGGATATCATCTTGTGTGGATTAAATTCACTGAATTGTCGCAGAGACTCTGCGTTCATCTCGGAGATACCAGGTTATGAAAGCAGGGAGCTGCTCGCGCCTCCTAACCCCTTTTAAGCTAGCTGTCTCCAGTAACAAACGTCTGTCATATCGGTGGTTTTTGCAACCAAACCCTCTGAGGGTGAACTAGCTTAGCTGGGGTTTCTTTATATGGACCTGGAATAGCTGTGCTGATATTTCTCCTCGGATAATCCAACCGGGACCCAGACTGGCACACCCTCAGCCGGGTCCGGATTCCTGGCCGCTGGAAGCCCTCTCAGGTGAGGTGAATGATTAGCCGGCAGCTAGCCAACGCTAACACCTGGGTAGCTTACGGCTAACGGCAGCTCAGGGTGCAGCGTTAAAACCGAATGAGCTTAACGGTGTGTATGTGTGTTGTGTATGTGTGTTGTAGGTATTTTAAAGTGACTCCCAGCAACGTCGAAACGTGTCTATATTCTGTCGTAAAGAACTGTGTAACCTGTCTAATCTAACCTGTCTCCACCCTGATTTTTACAGCATAACTACCCACATCGACTCCTTAATGATTGGATAAACATTATTAAAAAGCAATATTGATTCTGTTGGGCAATTTTCCTGTCATCCCAGAGTAACATCCACACCCCACGGCCCACTGTGGGCGTCGCTGTAGTTTGCGCACATAAAAAAATCCATCTAATTCCTTCAATCAAACACGGATCTTTTTATTATTATATATTTATGGTTTATTTTTCTATTCATAAACGTGATAGAAATCCCTGGAGCATCTGGATGATCCTATATTTAGGCCCCATCAGCAGATGAAGCCACCTGGTTCATGAGAGATCTGAATTGATCAAATCTGACAAGGAGTTTTGCTGAGTTGTGAAATATTTTAGAGCATTTTGCAGTGTTTTTCCTCAGCTGATAAGTAAAAAAGTAACCACTGTTGATGGTAGCAGAAACCTCCACTACTTCTAAAATGAACTGTTCAGAGTTCAAGAGTCATTGGACAGGAGCAGCAACACACACCTGGTCCTGTCATGGTAAATAGTCCCAGAAGTTATTGCTATAAACAATACTATTGTTGTCTTGAGTTCATTTTCAAGTAATACAATGGTAATGGCATAATAATGCAAGAACATTTTATTCTCCAAGATCAATAAACTTTAAATTATATTGAGTATTCAACACTAAAGCTGGAAGACCTTTTATAGATCCAAAATAAACAAACAAAACAACAGAAATGACAAGTCTATGCAAACAAAAAGGTGCAAGTTGAGACCAAAGAAGACCCTTATCATCCAGTTTTTGGTAGAAAGAGAAAAACAATAAATTATGAAAATGGAAGTTATTGAGCATATTTTAATTTATTATGCAATTAACTGAGTTATTGTAACACACTTACACACATCTAATGTGAATTTGGATTCAAGCTAGTGATGCAGTGGACTTCTTCACATGTAGAAGGTAACCACAGTATTGGAGAATCAACAACTATGTAATCAATCAGGATGGCGGTATGATTATTTCTTAATATGCATAAGAAATATTACGCATATTAATATTTACGCAATATTAATATGCAATATTATGCAATAGTTTAGATAGAATAGATAGATTGATACGAATTTTAGAATATAAATCTAAAATAAAGAATCACCTTTATTGGCCAGTATCATGTGCAGAAAGAGAATTTGGCTTGGTCTGCACACAGACATAAAGAATAAATATATATAATTAGTAGGGCTGGAAAATATATCACTATGTCAGTCAATATTGATAAGTATTGATTAGGTTTTTGTTTTAAATATGTGAAATACTGCCAAACTGCTGATGCTACTTTTCCTGCTTTATCCAGTTTCCTTTTGAGCTGTTTTACTTTTTTCTACTGTCACTCCATGCCGTTGTTGTTGTTGTTAAGAGGTACTATGGCGACACTGCAACTACAAAGTTACTGAGTTACAGGTTGTCGCTTGGTAACCAAAGCATAAATTAGTTGGTTAGTGACATGACTAAAGCCTTTCTTCTGACTACATCGCCCAGAATGCTGTGCGGTTCTGGATCAGACTTCACTGAAATTATTGAACATTCTATTGATTGTATTTTCTATTGGTACTAATCACTTGTCTATTGTGATTGTTGTTGTTTTTGTGTTACAATTTTTCTGTATAATGTTTTCCACTTTTCTGTCATCACATCCTCACCTCTGTAGTATATCAGTAATTTCTCCGCCATGCATCTTGGCTGAATGACCGCTGTTCAGATCAAACTTCAGGAGCTTTCTGAGTGTTGATATTTTAAAATGAAACCACATAAGGTGGATTTTGCATCGCACACCTGCTTCTATTTGGACTGTTTCACTTTGCCGTCCTGGGATGACCCCGCCATCTTTATTTCTATATCAACTGACTTCGCTCAAGGATGACTGGCAACTCCCTCTTCTGGATGGCAATCACACTGAAAAAAGATTAATCAAATTGAACTAATTTTAATCTAAAGTACAATTAATTGGAAATTCATATTCAGAATCTGTTTTATTGATATTTTGTGCACAATCAAGAAATTTGACTTTGGTTTTCAACTGCTCAAATACAAACATAAAGAAAACATCTGTAAACTTTTTACAGGAATAAAATAAAGATAGGAACAATATGCATGTGTATTTGCAGTCATTTTTTCCACATATATAAATCAAATAAACCACAGAATGGTTGTTGAAGCATTGAATTAAAATATTACTTATTTTTTCCCCCAAGAGAGAAGAATAATCAACGTAGGCTGTAAGGGAGAAGAAACTCTCTGTGGAAACAGCCCTCATATGAAGGTTTAAGTTTAAAGTGTCCAGAATGTGTAGGATCAGCAGAGATGCTAGCTCCCCTCTTCCTGACCTCAAACCTATAAAAGTGCTCGATGGAGGGGAGGCCAGCCATTGCAGTTTGGACCTGTCCTTTTTAGTATGTGAACCAAAACACACAGCAATGGACGAACACAGAACAGACAGAATAATGGCCGTGTAGAAGATGATCAGCAGCTCCTTTGGTTGGCTGTGCTTTTTGTGTTGCCACAGGAAATACAGCATCACCTCAGATCATAAGATTCCCTTATGTCGGCTCAGATCAGTCATCACTTCACTGCTGCTCATTGTACAAAATGCTGCTTCTTCAATGTGAAACTATAAAACAGGAAGATAGAAATCCATTTCTATCTGGAGAACTCTTCATGATGGGTAATATCGTTATGAATACAATAGAAATACACTTTATTGTACCAAATTTAGTTATAACAGAAGCAAAATGACATAACGGCATGCAGATTCACACAAAGATGAGTATCAAAAATAAAAATACAAAATAATATATTGTACAGGAAGGGCAAAATTACAACATAATGGCATTTGAAAGAACCTATTGTTTTTGTTGGTTTCAGTTTCCACATTATTTATTTTACATTGACTGTTTTAGTCCTAATTACAGATTAAACAAATTAAAGTTGTGTTGTTTCTACATGTTTGACCAAACTTTTGACACTATTGGTGTATTTAAATGTGCTCTACTGGTGCAGAGTTACCAAATAAATTTGTATTTCAGTACATTTCCATCTGTATTTTAAAAAAAAAAAGTTTTAAATCAATTCAGCTCTGCTTCTTTTGTTTACTAAACCTTTAATATCGTATCAGAAGTGAAAAAGTGGATCAGTTCATAACTAACAAAGCTTTACATAGTCCTATCATAATAGGACATTTTACCAGATGATAAATTGTTTCAGAAGTTATTGCGATAAACGATAATATTGTTCTGAGGCAATTTTCAAGTAATATAATGGTAATGGCATAACAATAATGCAAGAACACATTCTCAAAGATCAAAAAACTTTAATTCTTAAATGAACATTTAACACTGGAACTGGAAGACATTTTGAATATAAAAATTAATGAATCAACAGAGATAACTAATAAAATTAGTTATGAAGTCTCTGTAAACAAAAATGTCCTTAAAATACATGATAGTTGAGACCAAAACAACAAACTAAAGACTTGTCTTCCAGTTTTTGGTAGAAATGAAGAAACGAGAATCATGCAAATAGAAATTATTTGATTTGTTTTATTTATCATGTGATTAATTGATTTATTACTTATTGTGACAGGCCGAGTATCTCATGTTTTCTCATTGTGTTTTATCTCTGTAGGTGGAGCATCCTGACCAACCATCAGAGAACAGGATTGAACGAGGAAGGAGGGAATCCCTCTGTCCTGTTTTTGAAGAGGAAACTCTGAACCCATCTGTCAAGAATCTCCTCTTCATTTTGTTGCGGTTCGTTTTAGCACTTTCCTCCAGAGAGGCGTATTCCCCTAAGGGTCAAGTTTGTAGCGCTGTTATCCAAGCCTCAGTTCTCTCTGAAGGGCCGAGCGAGTAGAGGGAAGTCCCTGGAGAAGGAGGCGAAGAGGAAAACCGCCTATAGCTGTTACATAACCAACAGCCACGGTCAAGCCCACCGTCATCAGCAACGGCTTTAGTCCTGCCACATTTCTGCCCTGAAATGAGATAATTACCCTACATCATCACTGAGTGTAACGACTCAGCAGCTGCACGTGCATGGATACTAATGGATGGTCTGCTGGATTTAGCCCTGCGTGTTTTGGGAAGAAGTGCTCGGTGGCTTCCTGCTTTTTGCCCTGCGATCGCCTCGGGAATGTAGCCGGCAGGTGAGGTGGTTTCAGCCGGCCACCGCTGGGGTTTAGGGATGCCCCGACACAGGAAAACCAGACTCCTCCTGCACTGGCCCGCATACAGACTGCTCTGTCTGACACACGTCCTGGACTGAAGCTCCAACACGCTAAGAAAAGGGGGTTGGCATAATTTTTTTTTTATTTGCAACCATTTTGCTGCATTTCTTTTTTGCTGTTTTTTTTTATTTTTTTGGATGCGGATGTGTGGAGCTGTCGATGTAATCTGAAGAAGACCACAGAGAAGAAGAAAACAGCGCGCCTCAGCAAATCATTCCTCTCTGTTCTTTGTTTCTGCCTCACTTGGTTTATTTTTTTTTCTCTCTTTTGTTTCCACCTGAACAGGTCTACCTCTGCCTACATACCTCATTTATATTCCCAATCAAGCTACATCTGGCCACATCAGGGTGATGCTCTGCTGGAATGACTTTCATTCAAAGGGTCCAAACACTTTTTTTAACAGAAATTTTATTCCACTACAAAGATTTCTGCCAAGCCTGTGATCATTGAGTTGAACATCATTCCCTTCAACTCACTTCTTCTGCTAAAAGAATAGTTTCTACTCTTCAACATGTTTGTTTGCATCGTTTTGGGCCAAAACACAAATTCCTTTGCATAATCTGTGACTTTTGCAGTCGGGAAAGTAAAAAAAAACAGAGAAAAAAGAAGCATCCACTTTGCTTTTCATGCCGGATGTGGTGCTACCTAAAAGTCAGACCCCTCCTCTCCTTTGCATCCACCCTGTCCCTGTTTTTGCTCTAGAGTCCGCTTATCCCGGAGTGTTAATGACGGACTCCTTAACGTAGTGGTTGGCGAGCGAAAGCACCAATCGCAGCATACAGGAAGTGATGCCAGGTAGCAGCAGTAAGAGCGGAGGGCGGGGTCCATCCTCGTCGCCTCTGCCGCACGCTGTGGTCTCACCCAGCAGGCCCCTCAGACCTTCCCGCTATGTCCCAGTTGCAGCCGCCACCTTCTTCCTCGTTGGGTCCACCACGCTTTTCTTCTGCTTCACGTAAGTCACATTAATACACACAGAGTACCCAAAAAATTGTACTCTAGTAAAAGTAAAAAGTAGCCCTCCAAGAAATTACTCATGTAAGAGTAAAAAAAGTATTTCGTAAAAAGTTTGCTAAAGTACTGAGTCACTAATCAAATTATCAATCATTTAACTTTTAAAAATTGCATTATCAGACGGACCAAAATATAAAGTTAAGTGGAAATTTTGGTATTTTAAGGATGAAAATGACAACAAAATTACACAAAATAATTTTATCCAAATCAGTTTCTTTCAAAAAAAAAAAAAAAACATATGAGACTTTCACAAAAACTGCAGCGATTACAGTGTCTGGTGAATTTTTGGTTAAAACATGTATGTTTTTTATTCAGTGGGTAGAAAATCCAGAAATTTTACTCAAGAGTAGAGATACTTCATAGCAAAATTACTCAAATAAAAAGTACAACGTAGTAAAAATACTCCTAAAAGTGAATTTTTTTCATAAGTTACTCAAATAAACGTATGTAGTTATTACACAACTCTGGCAACAAGGCAGTTCAGAAAGCTTTACATCATAAAGACACAAGAGTATAAAGTCACAGAAAACACCACACAGCTAATAATTGAGAAAACTAGTAAACATTACATTTTGCCATCATTACATATCAAAACATTGGTCAATGTTTAATTTTTATGGTTCAAAAGCAACTTTAGTCTAGATTTAAAGGAACTCAGCGTTTCCAGATTTGTGATGAACAGAGGCTGAATGCTTCTTCTATTTATGGGTAAAAGTGTTTGTTTAATAGCAGAATTAATATAGTTTAGTTTTTGTTTCCAGAATAAAGTCATAATATTACGATAATACAGTCAAAATAATACAAGTATAAAGTCCTTATTGCTTTAGGAAAAATATAATCACAATAATGTTGTTTTTTCTTCTTTTTTTTTTAAACTACACATCATTAAACAAAGTATGAACTATTTAATTGAGAATAACTGTAGTACGCTGTAATAATATTTTATCAATCAGTTAAAGCAGTTTTCAACGGAAGAAGATTAGGGTCACAAAAAAAATCAGTTTTTTTTTCTCAGAATTTTGACAATTTGAAAAAAAATCTGACTTTAATCTTTTAAGATCAAAAGTAAAAATTCTGACATTTTTCTCAGATTTTTGACTTTTGATGTCAAAAGATTAAAGCCAGAATTGTTTTATCAGTGGCCACAATCTTCTCCTGTAGTTTTCATATGCATTCTGCTGAATTACATCAATGTGAAATGATGTTCAGTATTATTTAACTTTAAGAAGTACTCATTGAGTGCAGAGGTTTGTTAACAGGTTTTATCAACCCGTTTTACCACAACAGACCCTTTGAGGACATTCATAATGTTGATTTGGCCCAAAGTAAGTTTGACTCCCTGCTCTGAAGGAATCAGGAGTAACCATCTCAGACAGTTTTATGGGGTTTGCAAACATGATCAGTTTAATCTTTTCGATGATTTCCCATTCCCGGCTGCCGTTCCTGGTGGCACAAAGCTAAAACCCAAACACTCGTTCTCCGCTGCTCTCTGCAGTTCAGCTCGGCTGCTTGTCACAGAGTGAGAATGTGGAGAAAAGAGGCAAAAGAGCAGCAGTGGGGAAAAAGTGAGGAAAATCTGGTGGAAAGGTGTGATTGTGTATGCAGAGCCGTGCCTCTCTGCATGTATGCATGTGTGTGTGAGATGTAATCTGTGTGTGGTCAGTGCGGTGGCCGGTCAGCTCTGTGGATTAGTGAAGGGAAAATAGGCCAACATCTGTCACCCTGACAAAAGCCCATCATCCAGTCTGTCACTCCGTCTCTGTCCCTGTAGCCCGTCTCGGTCTCAGGTGAACACTGAACATCGGAAATAAAAATTAAACATCTGCTTACAGCTGGGCCTGTCGTAATAAATCACATGACAAATTGAAATAAACTCAATAATTTCTATTTCTTTCCAACAAAAACTACTGGATGATAAAAGTTTAAAGACAAAAGCTCCTGTATGTTGCTGAGAGGTTTTCTATTGGTTTTCTCTTATTTCAAGTGTACTGAGATATTTGCAGTATAAACTAGAACAAAAATACTTGATAAGATTTCATGTTTTTGCAGTGATTGGAAACAAATGGCGCACTGAAAACAGTAGTTTAGCCGAAAGTCTTTTATCTACTTTTTTCCTAATTTAATTTGTCGATTATTTTTTCCTCTTATTTCATTTGTTGTATCTTGTTTCATTTCTGCTCATGTTTTTAAACTCTTACTCTTGATTTTTCTGTGAAGCACTCTGAATGGTCTTGTACATGAAATGTGCTGTATAAATAAATTTGCCTTACCAAACCGCACCGACCCGATCTGCATCAGTCAGAGAAAACGTGTGATATTTTGGTTTCTGACGCGGTGCCGTTGGGGTTTCAGGTGCCCGTGGCTTTCTGAGCAGTTCTCCGTCGCCGTTCCCATCTACAATGGAGTCATCTTCCTGTTTGTTTTGGCTAACTTCTGCATGGCCACATTCATGGACCCCGGCATTTTCCCAAGAGGTGAGCGAATGAAAGTCGTTATAGAGGAGGTAGAAGCCTCCAAACTTAACTTACTGGTTTCATTTTTAAATCTAAAAATGCGCGCTGTCCCTGCAGCGGACGAAGATGAGGACAAAGAGGATGATTTCCGCGCTCCGCTCTACAAAACGGTGGAGATCAGAGGGATTCAGGTCCGGATGAAATGGTGCTCAACTTGTCGTTTCTACAGACCACCCCGCTGCTCCCACTGCTCCGTCTGTGACAACTGTGTGGAGGTGCATTCAAGGACACACACACACACACACACACTCATAAAAGCTGTTCTTATTGTTTGTCGTCATCTGTCTCTGACTAGATCAGAGTGATTCGAGTCAGAAGTACCAAAAATAACCTAAAATCAATCAAAAAATGTAGTTTGGTTTCAATAAATCAATTTATCGCATGAAAATATAAACAAACTCCATTTCCATTTGCATGATTTATCGTTTTTCTCTTTTATGTCTTTTTCTACCAAAATCTGAATAACAGTCTTCAATCTGGTGCTTTGGTCTCAACTAGCCTTTATTAAGTTTCATTATAGTTGCACTTCAACTGTGAGGGACAGAATCCAAAAGAAACAAACAGAAAATCAAATTATTATTATTATTAATTGAATGAAATAAATATTTAATACAGTTTTGTTGACAAAGGTGGAACAGCCTGCTTCAAGCAGATCTAAATGTGTTATTCCAACTGTTTATTTGCACAGCTCTAAACTCGACACTTTAATAGCTCTAACCAACGATAGCTGAGGGAATCTTGTTTTATTTGTGACTCTTCAGGAGTTCGACCATCACTGTCCATGGGTGAACAACTGCATCGGCAGGAGGAACTACCGCTACTTCTTCCTGTTCCTGCTGTCTCTGACGGCTCACATCATGGCCGTGTTTGGGTTTGGCCTGCTCTTTATTCTCTGTCAGCGGCAGAACATCAACCACCTGCACGCCATCGTTACGTATCCTTTAACGGTTTTTAACTGTCCCATTTATTCACCAATTAGTCTGTAATGTTTGGTTAATGTGCACTAACAAACGGAGGTATTGATCTACCAAAAACATGACCAATTATATAAGAGAAACAAAAACATTAGGACAAAGACGAACCAACATAACCACATGGTGTCACAACAAAAACAATGACATTGCTAAACATATGTTGATTGGGATAATATAAAAGGCGCCTTATGGGGACATTTTGCTTCATGTTCTTACATATTTATTGAAACTAGATGAAAAACTAAAGTGTGATCCAGTGTGTGCTCCACTGCAGGCCTGTGTTGTTCATCCTCCTTGACCCGCTGTGCTGCCAGGCTGGCTGTAATGTGTGTTGCAGGCTTATTCCTCATCCCCGTCGCCGGGCTCACCGGTTTCCACGTCGTGCTCGTGGCCAGAGGCAGAACAACCAACGAGCAGGTAGAAAACACGGAGGATTGTTCCCGCTGTTGGCTTCAGAGATTACTCGCCAGAACATTCACAAGGTTTTCAGTTCTGACGCTGCGGTTTTGACGACCTGTCGCTTCGACTTTAGGTGACAGGAAAGTTTCGAGGGGGAGTGAATCCTTTCACTAATGGCTGCTGGAGGAATGTCTCTCATGTTCTCTGCAGCTCCCAGGCACCGAGGTGAGTTTTTTAAACTACTTCTGTAGGTACAGAGTAAAATCTGCGGAAAGGCCGAATCCAGATGTAGCCAGACATTTGAGAAAACAAATACTTTTTTAATGTGTTTTGACCTTGCAAAAACAGTTTTCTTGTGGGTGTTTCTTTTTATAACAAGATGCAAAGTTTCTTAAAACAAAGTTCCTCATTATATCAAAGCGACTTTTAAATCTAGATACAAAGAGAAAGTTTCTTCTTTTATGGAGGTAAAAATACATTCCACTGACAGGTTGACTTGTTAAAAGGCTATAAAGTTTCACTGATGACTCTCCTTTTCACCTCATTTCTTCTAGACAATGTCAAAGAATCCCAAAAGGTTTTGATGTTTTTCTGTTACAACCTTTCTTATTTAAAAGAAGATATATATTTGTTTTAATAAGATAAATCTCATTGAAGCGAGTTCTCCTTTCACTGAGTTTAGCATCTTGCTATAAAACGTTTTTCTCGTTTTTTTATTTGGCTAAAACATGAACATTTTCTTGGTTTAACAAGTTTTGCATCTTGTTAAAGCTGATTTTTTTTCTAATTTCATCAAGTTTTTTTTCTTTAAATCTCACTAAAATGTGAAATTGTTTATTGCTTCACCGCCATGCTGTCTCTGCAGGTACTTGGGCAGGAAGAAGTGCGTGCAGAACGTGAGTGTGCAGCCTCCGTTTCTGCGGCTGCAGCTCACCGAGGCTCAACTGGCAGCCAAAATCCTGGACAACGGCATCCAGGGAGACCTGCACCGGGTGAGAGCGACACGCCTGCTACCGGGGAAACGCCTCCAGCTTTAGCTAATTGTTTAGTCTGCTGCTGAACAGATGCTTTGCATGTGTGGGAAGTAGATAGCTTTGCATACAGGATGGCAGGAGGAGGTTTAATCATTTGGTTCTCCAGATTTAAATGAGTTATTGTTTGAATGTGTCACACATGAACATCCTGCAGCCTGACTGAACACGAGCTGAAAGGGAGAAGGAAGAAGAAAAATATTTTATAAACCGGCCCCTTTCTCAATAATTACACCGTTTTCTGGGCCACATATCCATTAAATTAACAATGTAAACTTTGGTTAAAACATGTTTTGTTTGACTTGCAGAAAATCCAGAAATTTTCTCAAGTAAGAGGAGAAATACTTCATAATAAAATTACTAGAGTAAAAAGTACAGCATAGTAAAAATACTACTAAAAGTACATTATTTCAAAAACGTTACTGAAGTACATGTAATTGAGTAAATGTATCTAGTTACTTGCCAACTCCTTCGCATCCTGGCTGCCGTGTAGAAGAATCCGCTGTTTTCTGTTTTAAAATCAAAGTTTGGAGGAAACATTTACAGCTGCTAGACACACTGTGTGAGTCAATTACTGTACTGTTGAGCTGAAGTTGGTGAGTTTTCATGTGTGTTATTTTTTTAAATTAAAGTTTTATTATCATGTGTGCTCTGGTTCTGCAGTCCAAGTCCAGTCTTGAGATGATGGAGAGTCAGTCATGTGACGCCGAGCCGCCTCCGCCTCCGAAACCAGAGCTGCGTTACCCTGGAATCGGCCAAAGGAACGCAGAAGGTAACAAACATCACCGACCTCCGACTGCAGCTCCTCTTCCATAAATGAAGACATTATTCTCGATTTTAATTGAATTTTTGGTTTTTAACGGTTTAATTTTTGGAAAATATTAATCTTCTTCTCAGTCTGAGCTAGTGAAGCCAGCATGCTCCAGGCCTCCCATCCCGTTTGACATGTGTGTTTTACAGATTTTATTTATTTGGAATTTGAATTAAGATCAAATCTTTGATGAAATATTAGTGCCATTTACTAAAAAGTCATAATATTACAATAATACAGTTGTAGCAATGTGAGAAAGTAGGAATAATACGAGAAAAAAGCCACTAATATCACAGGATAAAATCGGAATGTTATGAGAACTGTTACACGGAAAATAACAAAAAAATTAAAACGAGCCTGTTTTGAAGCTGCACTTTGGTTCTGGTTTTACAGATGAATAAATACTTCATCTTTTAACACATCAGCATCAAATTGTTATCAGTAGCAGAACTTTTAAATGATTATGCAAACGACTGAATCACAGACTGAGGTTTCAATTCATTGAAATTACTTTTTCTACCAATTTCTAAGATGTTCTTCTGGTAAAATCGCATCTTTGTTCTGCCAATATGATTATATTCTCATAATTAAACAAAAAAATCTTGTCGCTTGGTCATAACACTCTGTCATGATTGGAATACAAGACAGTGAGATTTTCTTTATATTAAAATCGGATCTGGTATTAAAAAACGAAAGATTTTTCTCTGCGATGTGTTTCCTGTGTTGATGCCTTCCTGCAGAGTGCAGCCTGCTGGGCAAAGCTCCTCCCACCCCCACCATGTATAAGTACCGGCCCACTTACAGCCCGGGGAAGAACCACACGACTCTCACTCATGCTTACGCCAACCAGGTAACGATCCGCCAGCGGAGAAACCAGGCAGAACCTGCCGTCTGTTTCTGCTCCATTTCTCTTCGTTTCTGCTTCTTTTATCGCATCAATCTAATGCATTTCCATTTTTTATTTTATGTTTTTCCTTTTGATTTTCCGTTGCCCATCTTGGTTTCAGTGGCTTACTTTTGATCAGTATCAGTAAGTGATTATTTTAAAATCATTTTTCTCTCTTCGTCTGGAGCGTGGTTTTCCTGTTCCCTTCCTGTTTGATCTGGACATGGGTCAAATACTGAACAGAACCTTTCAGAACCTTTTCCCAGACAAAAATGGCTGCCTCTAGTAGTACACTGCAAAAACACGCAGTGTCTTTATTTAGCATTTTTGATCTAGTTTCTCGTGCAAATATCATAGTACACTTAAAATAATACAAAACTAAATTACAAATAACTTCTCAGGAAGAAATATGAGATTTTTTTAAGTCAATATTTTTTTTATTATTGATGAAAAAGTAATTGTTTCATTGGCAGATTAATTCAATTATAACGACATTTTTTTAAACGATCATAAGACATTTTTTCCTGTTTTCCTGTTTCAGCATTTAGCTTCTACATCTTCCTGTATAAAGGTTTTTTATGAGTTAGTTTTGTCTTATTTCAAATGTATTAAGCTGTTTGGAATAGAAACTGGATCAAAATTACTTGGCACCATTTTGAGTTTTTACAGTGTAGCTGCGTTTCCATTGACAATATAATTGCTCAAATAGAAATTACGGAAATGAATTTGCTTAATTGAAACACGCCATTTTAGAAAAATCTAATGTTTTGTGCTAAAAAGGATCAGCTATGTTAAAATAAATCTATTTCACGAAACGGCAATTTAAACACTTTTTTAAAATCACGTGATCAACAACCAGATATTACAACTACAGGTGAGTTTTCAGCCTTCTTTTAATTGAAGGAGCTCAGTGTTTCAGCAGTGTTTCAGTTTCTGTAAGTTTGTTTTAGATTGAAGGAGCACAGAAGCTGAATGCTGCTTCTCCATGTTTGGTTCTGGTTCTAGGAATGCAGAGCAGAACCAGAACCAGAAGACCTGAGAGGTCTGGAAGGTTGCTACGACAACGACAGGTGTTTATTGTGTTTTGGTGCCAAGCCATTCAGTGATTTATAAGTTAACTGAAGTATTTAAGTCTTTTAGATTTTGTCTCTAACGGTTGTACCTATGATGACAAGTTGAAGTTACCAGCTGCCTCTGCACATTCATTTGGATTTATTCTCAGTATTTGTCCCCATGTCTGGTCCAGATCCACCTGACTCTCCAGCAGTATCCAGAACTCCTCTCCTGTTTCTCCAGAATAAAAAGTTTTCCTTTCTGATTAGAACCAGTCTGTCTCCTGTTGCTGTCGTCATCAGTTTATTGTTAATGTGTCTTTAATGTCCTAACAGCCTCCATCTTGTCTGTCTACTTCTACTGTCGTCTTCCTCTGCTGCAAATGCAGAGAATATTTAACTAAACTATATTGTCCTCACATCATTAAAAAGCTTTAAATATCTTAAATTAAGACCTTAAAATGTCTTAAATGCATTTGAAAAGTTTCTCATAGACATCGACGCAAAGAAATCCCTGATCTTTAGGTAAGATTCAAACCAGTTAAGTTCTGGACTGGAGTCCCAGTCGCTTCAATGTACATCATAATTAAGAAAGTTAAATGCTTCATTTGACAGTTAAAAGATTATGCTATAAAATTAAACTATGTACCCAGAGTTGGGTAGTAACTAGTTACATTTACTCAATTACAATTTACCCAAGTAACCTTTTTTTTTTTTTTTTTTTAATGTTTTTTTAGGAGTTTTTTTACTACGCTGTACTTCTTACTTTTACATAATTTTATTATGAGGTATTTTTACTTACTAGAGTAAAATTTCTGGATTTTCTACTCACTTAATGAAGAACAAACATGTTTTAACCAAAAATTCACCAGACAGACACAAACCTGCAGTTTTTATTAAAGTTTCATAAGTTTTTCATTAAAAGAAAAACTTTCTTTTGCTTGACTTTTATCTTTTTTATTGTCATTTTGCTCCTTAAAATCTCAAAATTTCCACTTTCTATCTTTGTCCGTCTGTTATTTTTTTAAATATTAAATGATTGATCAGTTACTCAGTACTTGAGCAGACTTTTTACCAAATACTTTATATTTTTACTCGAGTAATTTCTTTCTTTCCGCTACATTTTACCTTTACTCCAGTAAAAACATGTTGAAGCAGAGCTGCCTCTCCTGAAAACGTGACACCGGTCCTTTAAGTTTCCTCCTCTGCTCAGCGTCTCCTTTCTGTCTCCTCCCTCTTCTGCCTCCTCCAGTTGAGTCGAGGGGAGAGCGTTGGCAGCGCCAGGGACTCGTCCTCCTCCACCTCCTCGCTCCTCCAGGCCAGCCAGCAGCCTGGTTTCCGCTCGCAGCCCAGCCTGGACCGCCGGGACGCGGTGTCGGACCGGGCCGTGGGCGGCGGCGAGCGGAGGGAGGCGGGGCGGGAGGCCGGTGGCGGCGGCGGCATTCCTGGCTACACGCTGGGCGGACGCTCCTACCCGTCCTTCTCGGACCCCACTGTGCTGTCGGCGGTGGCATCCCGGTCCTCCAGCTTGGCTGGCGCCGCCCACGTCTCCGAAGCGACCACCGCCTCCACCAGCTTCAAAAGCTTAGCCAATCAGACGCCGCCGCCTCACCACCCGTCGCGTAACGGCAGCCTGTCGTACGACAGCCTGCTGGCGGGCGAGGACTTTGACAAAGCGGCGGCCCCTGAACCCCCCGCAGGGAGACTCTGTACACCAGCAACAGGCGGCTACGGCTCGCCCTTCCTGTCCCAGCAGAGAGATGCCGACCTGCCGTCCCAGTCCTCCCAGTCTCCCCATCACCATCACCGCTCCTCCCACCACCACCACCCCTTCCTTCATCGCTCCTCCTCCTCGTCTTCCTCCCCGCCTCCCCCGCCAGAGCGGGACCGCCTCCTTGGCGACCCCCACACCGCCCCGGCTGCCAACTCCTCAGCCCCGCTTCCCCCGCACCATCATCACCATCACCACCACCACCACTCCCACCATCATCACCACCACTCCTCCTCCACCTCTTCCTCGTCCTCGCGCCCGCCGCGCTTCGCCGCCCCCCACCACGCCTATCCGTACCGCACCCGCTCCACCGACGTCCCGCTGGGCTCCGGCGGCGCTTCCGCTCGCTCGCCGCTCTCTGCCCACCCCCCGCCGCTGGGCAAGTCGCTGTCGTACTCGAGCGCGGCGGCGGCTGAAATGCAGTACCGCCTGGTCCGCAAGGCGTCGGCGTCGGCCGGCGCGAACGCCGCCGGCGTAGGAGGAGGAGGGGAAGGCGGGGGGATGGGAGGAGCCATACAAGCACCAAAGTGAGTATGACTTTCACCTTTGACCCTGACGATTGGTTTGCTGCTAACTCTGAGAAAGCTACATGCCTGCCAGAAACCGGACTGACTGCTCCTCCTGCTCTTCCTCCTTTTCTCCCTCTCTCCTCCTCTTCCTCCTGCCAGATTTCCTGTGAGTTCCTCCTCTTCCGTTTCTCATCTTCCTCTCATTTGTGAACGTTTTCAAACAGTGAATTTGGTGCCGCCATTTTCTTCAAATCGAACAGAATTACTGTCAAACATTTGTGCAGCACAGATGAAAATTTCTGCCGCTATAATTTTAAAGATACTAATAAAAAAAGCTTCCAGAGGTCAAAAAGGTCAGACCTTCTTCAAATCAGACAAAATTGGTGTCAAATGTTTGTGCAACAAATTTTTTTATTTGTGCTGCTATCATTTCAAAGATGTTATTAAAAGTTTCCAAAGCTCACTGGAGGTCAAACGCCTTAATCCTCCTCACATTTGCAAAATCAAACAAATTTAGTGTTTGTGCAGCAAATATGTATTTGTGTTGCTGTCATTTTAAAGATATTAATAAAGGTTCCCAGAGGTCATGTAAGGTCAGCCAGTTCCCCATTTCCTTCAAATAAGACAATATTGGTGTCGGTCAACTCGACCAAGTTTGTGCAGCAAAAATTTTAGTTTGTGCTGCTTTTGATTTGAAGAGATTAATGAAAGTTTAAAGGTCCAAAGGTCAACCATTAGATTTGAAGGTTTGGGGTCAATTTCACTCGGGTTCGTTTTCATTGTTGTGTTTGATGCTGTTGTTCTTGTGCAGCTCTGTGCTGATGTGTGTTTTTTTTTTATGAGAATACATTAGGCGTTCTCACTTCTTAAAGTTTTATTTCTCTTTAGAATCGAGAATGCAGAGTATAAACAGAAACTAAATCTAAATCACAATTTAGCAATCTCACTCCTTAAGATTGTTTCTCTTTACGATTCTTTTTCCATGTTCCTTAAGTTTTACTGCATTTAAGTACTTCCATGTACTTCAACCAATGTCAACAATTCATATTTCAAAACCTTCAGCTTCTGCTGGAGACTTATGATGCAATTTTTGGTCATTTCAACTTTCATACTTTTTAAAATATTGTAACTTTCTGCCCCATTGAAATACACTGAAATTCTTCAGATTTCTACAAAATTTTGCCCACCGCTGGAATTTGATTAGGAAACACTTTTGCTGATGTATCACAGAAACGACAGCATCTCTGATTTGTTTGGAGTCTGCATGACCTTCTCTTCATATCAACATTCGTTTCCAGTCCTTTCCTTTTCACCGTTTTTTAATTAGGCTGGATCCTTTGACACTGCAGTGTGAAAATGTAACAAATGTTGCACCTCCCAATCCCCAATCAAACCGGACTATCAGGTGTGAAAACACTCCAAGTGAATGGTTTTAGCTAATTTTTATCCAAGTGACACTTGGATAAAAATGTGTGCAAATCTTTGTCTATATTCTGCTAAGGTTAAAACACACACACACACACACACACACAATTTCCAAAGTGCGTTGTTTGTATTGAATAAGAATTTAAATTAAAATTACATGTAAATAAGTTTGCAGCTAGTCATTAAAAATCACGGCAGCAACGGTTACATAAGACATATTTGTTATTCAGCCATGGCACTAACATCATCCATCAGCCAATCAGAGGAGACGTCATGTCTTGTTCAGGTGATGATGCGACAAACTCCTTATACCTGGGAGCCGCTACGTATCCAGCGTTTTGGGGAAATTGTAGTTGCCGTTTTTACAGAAGAGCGTTAGATTCAACATGTTCAAATGACACAACTTGTTATGAACTGAGCAGTACTATGAGATGGAGCCAGCCGCTCATTGTCTGAAATAAAAACCCAAAAACAAACCTTTATCTTTCTACCACTTCCTGTCGTCTTCTGCGTTGTTTCCGCCAGTAGTAACATCTGGGTATTGATGATGTGACTTGTGTGATGTGAAGAAGAGTTTCTGTTGCAGATTTAGTGCAAAAACGTCTTACTGAAATTGCCCTGTTTCCGTATACAATTCCAATTTGCGGACTTGTATAAATTTTAGCAGAACAGGAATGAAATAGTCGATTATCCTGATCCTCCTCTGAAAAACTTCCATCACACCCTAGGCTCTAAATCCTGGTGTTTTTATGCATTTCTCTCATGAACCCAGAGGTGAGCTGATCCAGATGAAACCTCGGAGTCGGACCAATGGTGGCCAGCCCTTTTCCTCCTCTTCCTCCTCCTGCTCCGCCCCTTCCTCCCCTTCTCACCTGATCTCCTCGCCCAGCAGACCTGCCGCAGACCACCTGAGCTCGCCGGTGACTCAGAGTCCGGCCCACAAGCCTCCGGCCGGCGGCGTAAAGAAGGTAACCGGCGTCGGGGGAACCACCTACGAGATCTCCGTATGATTTCCACTTGACTGTTCACCTGAGGAATCTAACTGGATCGTCCTGCCGCCCCCCTTACCTGAAACCATGAATCTGATAAAAAACAAAAAACATTTAACTCATTTCTTGAGTTTTCATCCTTTCTGGAGCTTTAGTTTTTTGGATCCGGATTCTGTTTGGACCTCCAAGAACCTCCTAACATAGGTTTACAAGTGTAGCTTTTCCTACGGTTCAGATGAGCACTTTGGACTTTGTTTAGATCAAATTTGTTTTTTATATTTTAATAAAAACGTCTGGTTTGAGTGACGGTAATCCTGCGCAGACTGTAGGAACCTCATGGGATCGAGTCGAAGGGCTTCTGCGGGAACTAAGCGTAAGATCGGTCGGACGATTATCGGCAGAATCTCCCTCCGTAAATGCAGTGGACTCGGAGCGGGAAACGCTCATGTCACCACATGTTGCCTGATGCATGAGAGTCCCTGTAACCTCTGACCCCTGACCCTATCACACGGAGGAAAAAAAAGGTGCAGCTCTCTGAACTCTGATTCCAGGGAATGCGACATGTCAGCATTGAGGGAGTAAAAAAAAAAACTACGTTCTGATTGCCAGTGTTTTGCTATTTTACTGATTTACTCAATGTGAATTTAATTCCATGTCTGTACAGGATGATGTGTTTTATTATTTTTTTTTAATGTGGATTTATTTTGTAAAACGTTCTTGGCAGACTGGAGCATGCACTGTTTGCCACCGTAGGCTGCTGTCATCAGACTGAGGGACATTTTGTCTGTTTTTGAACAAACTAAAGTGAATATGGAAACTATGTGTTGGCTCTTGAAGGAGCAAAATTTTATAGAAAAGTCTGAGCAATTGCCTTGAAAATTAACATTTCAAGTTATTCTGTTTTTTAATTTTATTTCTTGTATTTAATTTGACCCCTGTTTTATATCAATTTATATGGAAACATAGCTGTTGATAAATGAAGAGTTTTTAAATATTGAAGGGAATGAAAGGAAGAAGGTGTCCCTTCTGATTGGCTGATTTGCTTCAGCCGCTCTTTTTCCAGAATCACAGCTGGAAAATGATCTGGATCCCCGTGAACAATTCAACACGGAACCGTTTGGGGGAAAAAATCCCAGCCACATTTAGAAGAAGATGCCCCGCCGGAGGATTTCGGTGGAAATTTGGATATTTGCATCAAACGGTTCTAAGCAAAGTTGATATTTTGTGGGTGTGTGTGTGTGTGTGTGTGTGCGTGTGTGTGTGTTGGGAGGAACAAAAACATTTCAGATAGAAAGTAATGTGTCAACCTGAGTCTGAAAATAAATGGTTAAATGTGGACAACAGGAGGACATAGTACTCTGTGTTATCAGTTATTTTTAGTGCTTTACATGATCAGAAGGATGCCTGAGGGAGCAGAATTTACTGGATGATAAATTGTTCCAGAAATTATTGCAATAAATGATAATCTTTTGAGACCATCTTCAAGCAAGTTTGCCATCTCAAAGACCAATAAACTTTAATTTGGTAAAAAATACTGGAACTGGATGACATTTCAAATATCCAAAATAAAACACAACCATAAACAACTAAAACGGAAATAAATTAGGTCTTGATGCTTTATTTTTAAAGAAAATGTGAATCTAATGGATCTAGTTTGCAACGTAAAACAGTTGGAAAAATTCAGAGACCAAGTAGGCGTTTCTCAAGAGCCACACCTGATTGGACGAAATTAACGTCCGCCATTCCACTTTAAATATATACATCGCTAGCTTACCTCTCTGTCATCGGATCTCTTTTTGTTTATCCTTTGTTTATGAGCCTGCAACTGTAACCCAGGGTATCAACAGACAAAGAAGCAGTTAGATAAAATAACTGCAGGCAGATTGCGCTAGCCGGTCTGACTTTAGCGCTGTTGCCATAACTTCTCCTCTCAACTCTTGGAGAACGTCCGGTTCCACTTCAAAATAAGAGCATCAACATAAATCATACTGTTTTAATAGCGATATTAAGCAAAATCAGTTTTGGTTACTGAAATGTACACTGACAGTTAAAAACGAAGGTATTAACAAATACATAATTAAAAAAAATATTGCTTAAACTGGTCTTGAGAGAAAGATTGCATTCTTAACTTCTTGTTTTCTTATTCAACTCGTTTTGTAATTTCCTGAATGATTTCTGCTGCTGGCACATCCAAGATGGCGTCGACACTGATGTAGGATTTAATGTGGCATCTATGATTAGATCCAAAAAGATACTAATTCAATCAAAACCTGCTAGCTGTCCAGACAGAGAAACATCCACAGGAGATCTTGACGACCGTAGTTGTATGTGTTTTTTTGGGGGGAAAAAAGGAATTTAGAAAGTTGTGTGCATATGGTTTTATTTCTTGTGTAACAAAGGAGGCCTAACTTTTCTAAGCCAGCAACTCCTGCAGATACTTCACATAAGTATAAATAACTAGAGGTCTGAAGGAGGCTGTAGAGAAATGCAAAAATGACACAAATATAACATCCACCTTGCAAAATAACATGCTTAGGAACAAATTATACAAGAGGAACAAAATCAGTGCATTTAAAAACATCTAAACCACAGGTGTCAAACTCCAGTCCTGGAGGACCACTGCCCTGAAACTTTTAGATGTGCCTCTGCTGCACCACACCTGAATAGAATAATTAGGATATTAGCAAGGCTCTGGAGAACTTATCTACACAAGAAGAAGGTAATTAACCCATTTCATCCCAGCGTTTTTGTGCCTATGGCACATCTAAAAACTGCAGGACAGCGGCCCTTGAGGACTGGAGTTTTACACCCCTGATCTAAACCGTAACAGTTCATGACTGGAATGTTAAAAGAAGCTCAATGTTAACTGGATTAATATTAAAAAGGTGGATCTTTAAAACCAAAAAAGTGACTGCATAAATGTCTCAAACCCCGTCTGGATTCACAGTCTCACAACAATGTTTGGTTCTGTAGAGACAGTAAATATTCACCCAGTTTCTCCAGTGCAGGATCCACGTGGGAGTGTTGGGCTGCTCCTAAAGCAGGGGTGTCCAAACTTTTGGTCACATGATTCAAAGGTACTAACGGGCCAAAAAAAAAAAAAAAAAAAAAAAAAAAAAAAAGCCAAGCAAAAAAAAAAGTGTTTTCCTCTAGGAAAGAGATATCAATCATTGTACATGCAAAACAACTAATTTTGTATGTTTGTATCTAGTTTTCAATTTCTTTTTATAACTTTAGTTATAAACAGGATTTGGGTCACTTTCAAGATATTTGCTATATTTAGCCAAGTTTAATGAATTAAAAGCTGATTTTGATGCAGCAAAAAAGTTTCAGCTTGGCTACAAAAAGACAAATACTTTATGTTGTACTTAACATTTTCCATGTTAAGAATTATGCAAGTAATAATTCCACCCTGATTAAAAATAAAATGCCTCCACCTGCATCTGCATGCAAATGTGTATTGTTCTTCAGTTGCAGATGGGGCCTCACAAAAACAGTCCAAGGACCACAAAATGGCCCCCGAGCCACACTTTGGACACCCCTGCTAAAACCCTCCAGACCAGCTGAAAACAATCGACCATAGCAGTAATATTTACCTGTGTGTAACAGCAGAGTTTGGGTCAATTCGGAGTGAATTTGTAACACATTTAAATCTTAATTAGTAGCATAAAAACACATGACAGCCGTGGCTCATTGATGGAATAAAACTTCACATGAAAGTCAGATTCAAAGCTTCACCGCCGCTGAAATGTAGCCAGCAAACTGGTGGGGAACAGAAATCCCCCCGTTCTGCCTAAAGATAGATCACATTAGTTCTTTAAGGTTTTCTATAAATGAAGACGAACGGTTAGGAATGGAATAAAACAAAAAGAGGAAGAGTTTCCGCTTCCGCCACACCTCTAAATAATCTGAGGATTTTGATAAGAGGAGTGGAGATGATGCAGATGATTTAGTCTCCCACTATGAGTTCGGGCTCTGTGATGCTAACCGTCCTATTTGTCTTTCTTGGATTCGGCGTCGGCCCCCGGCTGCTCGGGCTCCTCCTCCTCGGGGACCGGTGGGAACTGCGATGGGCTCAGCTTCTCCGCTTTGTTCCTGCTCAACTTTTTCGACTTCTGGTAGAGTTCGTTCAGGTTGAACTCTCGGATTATGTTTTCCTAAATAAAAGATGCATCAACAATTAGCCTCTAAAACTGCAGATTCTAATCAACTTCGTTACTCAAAAATCTAATAAGTTTAAGTTGGACAACTTAAGTTTAATATCTTTCTGGAAAAACAAAACTTATTTTATTAAAATAGAACCTCAGTGAAGCTCCAAGATACAGCTCTGCCTTTCTTGTCCACCTGGGGGCGCCGCATCACTTCCTTCCCTCCCTGAAACAACACCAACGAAGGAAGCTGCTTGGACAGAGGGGACGTAGACACTTTGTACCTACAGGTAAAGCAACATTTCGTTATTAAATATAACATAAAACAACATAACGTAGATGTGAAGTTTAGTCAAAACTGGTTTATTTATTCTTTAAATACATTTTGTTTGGTGAAGTTATTTTCGCTTGACTTTTATTGCTATATTGCTGTATAACAGGGGTGTCTAAAGTGTGGCCCGGGGGTCATTTGCGGCACTCTTGATGATTTTATGTGGCCTCCGATCACAATTTTGCAATTGAGCAAAGCTTAAAGTTTATCTGGTTTTTTACAGATATAATGAAATAAAATATTGTTACAATATTGGTGGTACAACAAAAAGTATTTCTCATTTATCAATTAAGTTTCTGCATTTAAAGCTTTTACTCAAAAGCAGCGCTTTGCTACATTAACACAGCAAGACAGACTTCCTGTTCTTATTGAACAGGAAAATAAAACAATAAAAATAAAACAACAACAACAAAAAAAACAACCCCAAAAAGCTGTGTGCCAATCTAATAATTTATGATTTGGATCTGCAGTCATTTATGGATAACATTTTTAACAAATATGAAAATTTAGTTCATTTGATTTAAAAAAAATTAATTTAGCTAATGAAATATTTTTTAAAGTACAATCAATTTATTAAAAAATAAATAAATAAATAACTTTGGGCATCAACATGCCTTTATTTTTGGCCCTTGCAGCAATTTTTATTTTTATTTTTGTGCTGCCTTTGACAGTTGGCAGTTACCATAGCAACCAGTAACCGTCAGCTGTGTAATTTTGCCAGTTTTTATAATTAACCTTGTGCATTTTAGCTGTGTTTAGTTTTACAACTGTCAACTGTTTTAATCGGAGCCATCAGTCTGTAGTTTGTTTACGTTTATTTATTGTATTTTATTTAATGCATAGGGGGCAGAAGCTGATGGAATGATGTTTAACCTCCCTGATTCTTTGCTCTTTCTATTGCAACAATAAATATTTATTTTGAATGTATGGAAATGAGCACAACTTCTGAGTAGGAATTAAAGAGGATTGGGTTTATTCCTGGCCTTAGACAACTAAAATGGGCAACAACAAGAGTAACTTTGTTCTCTAGCTTAATGTGATATACGGGCATAGATTAATCTTTTAGCTAACATTATCTGCCTGCAGCAGCATTACTCTGTTTATTTGGATGAAAACAAATGTTACCGTTTAGCATCACACATGCCTCATCTTGCAGGTTTGGCTTTCAAGAGACGCCGTGAAACAGGAAGTGAAATTAAAAGGGGATTGGTCAAAATTCAGCTGAGTTGCAGTGATCTTGTTGACTGGTCAGATACGTGAAAAATTTGCAAATATTGAGTGAATTTGCATTAATAGTTGCGATCACAACAATGCAACTTCCTGGAGGGGCTGATGATTACAGGTAGACGTGTGTGGATGAGTCTTACCTTTTGGAAACTTCTCCATATCGTCCAATGTCTACCTTCCCAAACTTGAGGCCAGAACAGTTATACCTGAACCGGAGCAGAATTAAAAAGAATAATGATATTTTATTTGTAAAGACCTTTTCTAAAAACTCAAAGATACTTTACAGGAATCAAACAAAAACAGAAAACAAAAATACCGTAAGTACAGTTAGGCATAAAACAGGACATTAAAGATGTTCTGAACAGGTGAAAGTAGCTGAAATTAGTGATGGGTAGTTTCTATACTTTGTTTTTCTGGATACAAAAGTGAGTAAAAGGATAGAAATTAAACTACAAATCCATTTTATATTTACGTTAGTGCAGGATTTCCTGAATGAACTCCCAGATTTTGAGCTGAACTTGCAGTTTTAGTCATAGATTGCACATATTCCCGTTTCCACAGTGACACATGATGAATGGATTCTTACTTGAGCGAGAGATCGGCATACACTGAAGCGAAGGACTGACACTCCGGAGACCAGTTGGCAAAAAATTCAACAATCCACGTCACACGGCTGTCCTTGTTCAGCTCATCCTGAACCAACCCACACACACAATTAATACAGTTAGGATTAAAACGAGTTTGCAGATAAACTTTTCTGGTGACAGGTGTGCGTTAACCCACATCGATGGTTTTGTCACTGAAGTATTTGATGTACTCTGGTCCCATGTAGAGAGGCGGCTTACAGGTCATTAGAAACACTGGAAAACACAAGCAGAAATCAGGCAATTTTAGAAAGAAGACGACTACAAATTAGGGCTGAAAAGATTAATCATCGAAGCAGCCAATCAGACGTCAGGGTCTCTATGAAGCAGCCATGTTTCTTTTTCTCCATCTTTTAACGCATTTCTAATATTGTACTAAAGAGGCTTAAGTGGTTAAATTAACTTTTTTTTTATTCAATTCCTCCTACAACCAGAAGTAAAAACACAGAGGAAATGCCTGAGTTACATTCCACCATCACTCCAAGCATCCTGTCCCACATGATCAGTTGTGAGTGAAGCGTCTGTGCCGTGTCTCGCCATTTTAAATCCAAACAACTCACTGAAGTAAAACAGCAGCTCCGCTGACAGTAAACAGGAACTTCACTGCCTGTCGCTACTAAGGAGACGAGGAAGATGTTTTCCCTCGGCGTCAGATTGATTTGATAAACAGAAATATTCCTGGAGTTTGTCACGTGCTCTAGAGGAATCTGTAAAGTTGGACTGACCTATGCAGAGCGTCAAGTAGAGCAGGCCCATCCTGATGTCCAGTCGGAAGAACAGGATCACATTGGCCACTTTGCTGAACAGGAAGATGTTCCCCACATGTTGCTCCACAGTTACTGAGAACAACAGACAAACAGGCCTAAAATCAGTCCTGAAAGTTTGCTTAATTTACCAGATTAAACAACTTGGATTTTTAAAAAAGCCAGTTGAGTGTTGCTGAAGTAAATCTACTCACTTGCTCTACGGTTCTTCATCATCACGATGGCACTCAGGAACATGAGGATTTCCACTTCTCTCTGGAAAAAACACACATAATCGTCACCAACTGAACATCTGAATCCAACCAAACCAGTTGCATCCAGATTTTCTAAATATTTAAGATACTGCCATATTTAAAAAAGAAAATAGTGAAATGGAAGTAAGCCCCAGCACTGTTTTATTTCTTGACTTGCTGAAGAAAAACACAATAAAATCCAACTCAGAGGTTGGTAGTAACTCATTACAATTACTTTACTTTGCAAATAAAAAATACTGTACTATTACTCAAATAATATTACTATTAATTATCTCTACTCTTAGTTGGGCAAACTACAGTGAGTAACTTCACTGAACAAAGAAACGTATTTTAACCAGAAATGCACCATAAAGACACAACCTACATTTTATGTCAAAGTGAGACTTCATGTTTGTACACAATCTTTGTTGCTCTAATATACAGGATTAGTAGTGCTTCCCAACAACTGATCATCTCTGCTTCCTGAGATGATCAGTTGATGACTGTTAGCATGTCATGACAGCAGTGTGACTTGTCTTCAGTCAGAGGCCTTTTCATAATAGTTTCAAGACTGACTGCTACAGCATAACCTTTCGCAATGACTCTTAAGATACTTGGATGATTTGAGTTGATGCAACATTTAATTTCCCTTTGAGTTAAAAAAACATATTTTTGAATTGAATATGACAATTTTTGATGGTCCTGCTTGTCTCTGAATTTACTGTCAAAACCACCTCCAGTCTGTTTACTAAACTCTGCAAATTAAAAATTAAATTACTCTGGATCAAAACTAGGCTGTGGAAACACAGACACCGTATTTCTACTACAATTACTGTCCCTTCAGAACAACTTTGTATTTATGTCGCAGAGTTAATACATCTTGCATCATTGCAAAACATCAAAAAGCACAACTGTGTAGGTGTTTGGCCTGTCAGAACTGCCAATGCCAATGGGTGGTCGGTCGGTTCTGAAAGGCCCGGTTCGTCCGCTGTAGGGATACAGACCCAGTCAAAGTCACAGGAGTTCCCGTCCTCCCGCTGTGAGGCCAGATGGTCGCAGATTCCAGGCGTTTTACGGACCGCCAGGAAGGCGACAGACATGAAGAGAGAAGCTACATAATACGGCTTGAGCAGCCACTTATACACCTGCGGCAGGTGGTAGAGGAAAGCAAACAATGGCGTCAGTAAAGCCATGTTAACAAAATGTTAAAAGGTGCCGTAGATTACTCCAAAACCCGAGAGTTCAACTTTAAAAATACCGGTAGCCTGCGATGAATTGTACTATTAGCCGTGGCTAGCGAACGTACACACAGCCGGAAGTTGCTTTAAATACGGTGTTTTTTAAAATAAAAGCATACGTAAATGATGCCTTTATTATAATTCCACGTGTATTCTTCGTATTTATGGATTGAATTATGGTTAAATGGGTATGTAATTTAATGTATAAAAATATATTAGCCCGTTTTGAGTCTCTAAATTGACCTCTTCATCGTTTATTTTGAAGCTTGATGAGTCGCGACGGTTAACGGAACAAAAATTGACTCTTGTCCTTTTCCGTCGGCACACATGGCAGCAACCGAGTAAAAGGGGGTGGAGATTTAAAGGGACTGGGAGTTAAAGGGGCGGGGAGGTTTTCGCAGGAGAAGATTATCAATGCATTTTATTTATTTAATCAGTTATTGTTTATATTTAAGACACTATTTTTTTCCTAAATTAAAACCCTGCCTCTCACCCAATGACAGCTGGAGATAGAAACTAACTCAGGTATTGATAATAGATATATGATTTACATTTTGCACAGTGTGGTCTGTTTTTTTCCTACACATTCACTCCTTGTTTGTTTGGTGTGTTTTTTTTTTTCCTGTTCAACGTTCCTTATGTTCCCTTATCACTAAATCACCATATACATTTTCCAAATCCATTTATTGACTTTGGTTAAAAATGTACATCTCAAGATGTCCACAAGATAACCTAATTATTTTACTGTGAAGTTATCCCAAACCCACACTACTGACACCATTCCTACTTCTTGGTTATTTTTGAGTGATAAACCAGGAATTTATGTTTAAGTGACAGCTCTATATTAAGCAAACCGATTGACTATATTCACTCAGTGGACTTGTGAGTATATAAATCACAGCAGGGTTTCATTCCAGGCACGCAGGCAGCTGACAGCATCACTTCCGCCTCCGTCATCTCAGAATCAGTGGGAGGAAGCAGAGGATGAGATCCGGTGAAGATGCTCCGTTGCGTTTGTTTTCTTACTTTATTTTCCTTAAAAAATAAAAATAAAAAAGTCTAATAAAAAATATAAATGGACTCTCTTTGTTCCTTGATGCCTTATGTTATATTACTGCGTAAACTATTGCTTATTTCGCATTCACAGAATCCACGATTCCTTGGTTTATTATTAATTTAATTAATAATGCATCACTTCCGGTTCCAGGCTGGAAATCTTTAGTGATCCATGCAGAAGCTGATCTGGGTTCAGCTGCAACAGTTCGACTGTTGCTCCAATCAGAACCGCTCAGCAGGCTGCGGCGCTTGTGCGTGTACCGCAAATTTAGCGAGTTTATCGAAGGAAGTGCTATATATGTGCTACAAAAATAAAAGTCCTTCATAACCGAAAGCACGGCTAGGGATTCATGGTTGGAAAGACATCAAAGTTTAGCTTTGTAGAGATTTTTCCATCAGTAATGTTCTAATGTTTATTAACATTTCAAAACATAGTTTTACATGATGATGTGTTTATGATGGACAATCTGAAACAGATACACAGCTCAATATTTGAGTTTAATATTAAGGTCCTGTATAATGTTTTAAAAAATTATTTAAGTAATTTATTGGAGGGCTACTTTTACTATACTAGAGTATATATGTGTGGAAGTAGAGCTCCCTTGCTTAAATACAATACAGATAAGTTTTGAATAAACATTCGTCTGAACCTTTACTTTGAAACTCCAAACAGGAAGTCACCGACATCCCTCCGCCATACTTTACTCCAGAATAGATCCTTATTGTAGACATCCCAAGAAGCGGCCGGGGAAACAAACCCAGACGGGATTATCAGGCTGACGCCGTCGAGGTACCGAATGATAGAAATCTCTGGGCTAAACTAAACCTCCAGCAGCGGAACCGCGGACATTTTCCTGGCCAGGGCGACATTTGGACCGAGCCGAGCGGCCAATCTGACCGCTGCTGCTTGCTTGTCATTGACTGCTGCCGTTTTAACAGAAGCTAGGATTATATTGGTAAGTCGCGCATTAAACATTTAAAGCGCCACATGGTGCGGTTTGTTTAGCTGTGTTATAAGCGTTGTTTGTTGTGGTAAAAATAAAAAATATATAAATATCTACACAATGGCTGAGTGGATGATGGCGAGCCCAGCAGGTCGGTATCATCCAGCTTATCTCCCTGTGAGATGGAGTCCCTTACGCAGAGAAGCGGCCTGTTATGGCACCTGTTAAAGGGAAATATTGGCATATCTTTTGATAACATCTTTTTGCTGTTTCTGCTCTCCATCTTTAGGGGGAGGAACCCTGATTGCTGGTGCAGTGTGTTGGGACTCCTCCAGGGCCTTCTGCCAGCAAGTCCTCAAAACTAACTGGATGCTGATGGAGGCATTCAGGGACCGCAGGAATACCTAACACCAAAGCCTTCCATGTTGGATGCAGCATTTGGAGAGCTGTGAGGATGGGTAACTTTTGCAGGAATATTGGATTTTTCTCTGATAGCTTACCTGGAGTCTACTGCATCCTCCGATAAAGTGGAAAATGATGGCATGTTAGTGTGGACCTGTCAATAAAATCATCTATAGCTCCTCACCCTGATTCTTCTGATGCAATGATGGTGAGAGGCACCATGTGGGAGTGCCTCAGGACTACTCGGGTGTAACTGCTTTTGGTAAGAACCAAATATCTGGACTGTAGTGGTCCACCAGCACCATGGACCATTACAATGAGTGCTGCCTCTGCAACCCTGAGGACGGGCCAGGAGGCCTGGATGAGCCGCCGCTTCACAGCATCCACGCTCCCAACCGGATCCGGCCGTCCTCATACAGAGCCCTGCGGAGCGCGGTGTCCAGCCTGGCTCGTATTGACGACTTCTTCTGTGAAAAGATTGGCTCAGGCTTCTTCTCCGAGGTTTTCAAGGTACGTACCGTCCCCTGCTTTTCACTCCAGTTGGAATAAAATAGGTGAGAACAACAACATCATTAAATGATCTTAAGAATATAATGAAACTCCACTTATGAGCTTGTTGGATGAGGTTTTTTTCTAGTTTTGTTGTCCTCAATGTTGCCAGTTTTCCTTGTGCATTTCAGGCAGCAGTTCAGCTAAATCCTGTTTCTGATTTGACAGCCAGCTTGTAGTTTAAAATCTTAGGGTGCATTCTCACCAGCCTGGTTTAATCCATTTTAATCAAACTCTGGAAAGTCCGGTTCGTTTGGGGAGGTGTGAATGCGCGACTGAACTCTGATGCGGACCAAAAAAGGGAAATTTTGTCTGCCTAAAATCTAGATCTTGTTGGTTGAAGTGAACTCTGGTGCAGTTTGAATACATATGTGGATATCTCTCCAAAAGCAGTAATATGACTAAAACACAGGGCATTCTGGGTAAATGCAACCAAACTCGTGAATCTGGCTACTGGGAGAAATCATTTGTGGGTTTTTTTTTACCAAAGAATATGATGCTACTCCATTTTTGTTTATTCGTGCAGAAGGAAGTTGTGCCCAGTGTCTTCTTCAAAGGTTTTCACGTCATTTCCTTCTGGGGTTCTTGGTGTAGCGCCACCACAGGCGAGGAGGAGAACCGCAGAAGCTGAAAATGTAACAAATGTTGCAAATTTGGTCCCCAATCAAACAAAATTACTTTTACTCACAGCTCACCAGAATTGCCTTTTATGCGCTATGCTTCCTCCCAAACACTAGGTGCCACTATAGAATTGATTGGACACTTTAAAATGAAAACATAACTTTGTGGTTTGAAATTCCCTGCTGTTTTTATGAAACACAGATTTATAAATAAACTAGTATTACTCCTCATGTTTTTCTAGTTTAATTTGCGCAGCAAAAATAATAAGATTTTCTTTTAACCACAGTTTTTACTTTCACTTTTACTCAAAAACACACCTGGGTACACCAGTCCAGTAAACATGACTCACATTCAGTGTTTTTGTTGCTCAGCCTCATTTTTTGTCTCTAAACAAAAGAAGAAACAATACAATTCACCTAAAAAAAATGTGGATATTTATTGTAGGTAAAATAAAATGAAACCCATTTACATTTGCGTACTACTTTACTCTCACTTTGCTGCAGCTCAGAGTGTCAAAGGTCACAGAGGGAAGGAAGCACAAGTCCACTACGCTTATAATACTGGGGAAAACTCTGATTATGACTATTTTCTCATAAGAAAATAGTCTTATGAGACTAGCTTAGTAGCTTGGCCCTTTTACTCCTTCGTACGACCCAAAGAAGGTATTATTGAAATAAAAAACACTTTTTGAAAATATATTTTGTCATTTATTTGAAAGAAAGTGAGGAAAAAAGTCGGATTAAAATCCGATCTGTTATGACAAAACTTAAGATTTTATTTGTAACCACATCACCCAGCTCTGTTTTAATTTCCACCAAATTATCCTGAAGTTATAGCAGAATAAACTCCTCATACACCCGATGACCCTGTGACTAGAATATTAATATTATTCATTCGACCTTTTAACTGGAGATTTTTCTCAAACATGTTGGTTTGATGTTAATACCAGGAGTTTGTTACACACACCTGTGTGTCGTCTGCTTGTGTGGGAGCTAAGAGGCGGATTGGAGGGCAGGACTCACTGGGCTAAGCAGCTTACTCACACACCACCTGTATGCGTGTGTGTGTACCTTTGTGTTGGTACATATGTAAATATTCACAGCCTGCTGCTTTAAATGCAATCAGAGATGATAATCTGCAGTATTTCTCCAGGGTGAAAGTTGATTTGACTTTTTTTTGCTCCCAACCGTCTCTGAAATGAACGAAAACAGTTCAGTTGAATGTTTACACTCTGGATTTTATAATTTTTTTATTTTTCTGTAGCTCCTGACTGCAATTCAAGAATGATACCGATCTGCAGAGGAGGCTTTTTACTTTTGATTCGTGCAAACTTACTACCCACACATTTTCTTGAATGCAAAATGTTGAGAACAACAAAGGGTTCATCTTTTAATCACTGCTTGCATTTTCTTTAAATCCATTAGGGGCTGAGACAATTAATCAAATAAATCATGATTAATTGATTATTGAAGTAATTGTCAACTAATTTAGCAATCAATTAATGGTTAACGGTTTGATAAAATAAAA